AGTTGATTGGGTATTGTAATCGACAGTCGCAATATACTTTAATTGGCGTCTGGATAGGATTACAGAATACAGAATAGTGGGTAAAAAGTACAGAATATTAGACAAAAACAAAAAGAATAGAAAAAAAAGAAGAAAAGAAAAGAGAATAGTTTGGTACTGAAATATAAGGAATAGAGAATAGAGAATAAGGCAAAGCCAGGCAGGGTGAAAATAAATAAAGAATAGAGAAAAATGGTGTAAGAGTAAAGAGTTAACGAAAAAAGAAATCATGAAGGACCCTATCGAGACCCTCATACAACCTTTAATTATAGTTTATGATGTGTCTGGTCACAGTTGTGATTGGAGCACACAAATCAAACTTTTTTATAGAAAGACTTTGATCTCAGCTAGTGTAACGGAATAAGCATTTATAAGAGACATAGAGTTAGTGAATGAGATAGCAATTCAACTTGATGACAAAAACGGTCAAAAACCCACAGAGGACAGTCTTAAAAAATAAACAAGACAGGTGTCAAAATACACACACAATATGTCAAGCTAAAAAATCGTCCCTTGATGATCGGAGGCTTTTTAGATTTTGGAACTCCATGTATGATTAGCTCTCAGAGTGCAGGCTCTGCACTAATCGACATTTTATAGTAATTTAAAAGTTATATAATGTTTTTGCAAAGCCCCAAAATTAAATACATACAATACTCATGTAAAGCAACATCTGATTTAGTAAAAAGTGAAATCCGATTCAAGTATATATCTATTCAAATGTTTTTATCCACAGCTGAATATTTTGGGGGAAAATGCCCCAAAACAATACCATGTAACAGTTGTTCATTTGATAGGAGCTTCCCTATCATCACGTAATCTTTGTTCTGTGTTAGGGGCACGTGCCCCAAAACTCGTATCCGTTGTTAAAGGTGATAAAATGTCGATTTTACTATAATTTATTATTCATTTAAGTTAAGGTTGTATCGAGTGTTATATTTAAATATCCGTTTTTCCTCGGTCCATTCGAATTAAATTGTTAATTCTCGGAGTAAGGTCCGTTTGCCTAGTGTCTTCTAAAGGTTTTACGAAATTGTTAACTGTTTGCTAAATATGTATTGATTTTGTTGATATTTTTTGCTGAACTTTTCAAGTCAAGATGCATACAGATACGGAAATGTTGCATGTCCCAATGGTCAATATTGTATACAGCCATTAAAACATTATTTTGGAATTTTTTCGTATAGCAACATTTGAAACCATGCCTAGCAATGTAATGTCCAAGAAAAATGCTTTCAAACAAAAACAGATAGATACTGTGTTCATTTTATTCTAATCTTGTTATCTAAAATTTTGAATGATAGAGAAAATCAGTACACTCCGTCTAGTGGAGAGACAAATCTAGAAAAAGGTGCTTATTTTACAACTTTAATGGATCGGCATAACTGCAGGCTGAAAATGATTTTTCTGTAAAGCTAATACATATATCTTACTTTTTTACCCAGTCGTAGCCATTTCCTACGGTGCATTTTTTCATAAAATGGAACTAAAAAGACGTTGATTTTTTCATTCAAAATGCAACTCGACAAACATTTTTACTTTTGTTTCTTTTTATATTCATCAAACTCTTGCTTTGGCATTTTATGAAGAGTTTAAGTACTAATTTATAATGTAAAACTGTAATTTCTTCTATTTTGCTTTATTTTTATTCGTTTTTCACTCAGTTTTAAGACTGTGCACTCTGTTCTACTTCCACGAAGTGGTTACAACATTTGAGAATTTACATTGCATCGATATCTTCCAATTTAATTGCGCTAAAAAGTAATAAAACGTCATTTTGTACAGTTATGAGACCTCTCCGGCTAAATGTTTCTAATAAATTCACGTTTGTCGACATATTTTTTTCCTACTGATACGATGTAGATTTACCTTTTCTTGACGAATCGCTTCAGAAATTCATTATACTATTGTTCATGTTTTTGCCAATTAAATATGTTAGTATGAATATTTTTGTATCACAGCTTTATTCAACAATGTTTTAAAAAGATTTTGACTGATAAATTTTTGCCAAAAAGATATTTTATCGTGTTTTTTTTCTAAAAGTTAAAAATAGATTTTTTCTAACAATAAAAGTCAAATTGGAGCGGATAAGTATTATTCCCGGAACATATCCACTTCGCAAGCTTTTTCTAAAAATCATATATGTCTGTTCTGATCAGATACATGCCCCGAGACATGCCCATGTCTTTTGACTGGACTGCTAGTATTTTCTGTAAGCATAAATCGTAGGAACGCGACAAAAACCCTACATTTCACTGAATCTGACGAAGAGCTAAAAATAAATAATAAAATTATCTTAACGACATTTAGAAATAAAGTCACTTCATTTTCACAAGAATTTAAAACCAAGGCCCTTTACTACAGGGCTAGCTCTGTTTTTTTTTCAAGTAAGCAATCCGAAGAAAGAAGATTTTACAATGAGTTGAATGTTTTACATATACGAGAAGGCTTCCCATTGCCTGTTTTGTGTTATCTTTGAAGATGTGCTTGTTAACAAGAAGCCTTTGTTCTGTATTTTCTTTTGGTAAAATACTGGTTTCCTACTTCATGAATTGAAAATAAATTACGATTTAGCCAAACTACAGTGTAGGTTTGAAAAACATTATGCAAAATCAATCGTTATACGGAAAACAAAAAGGACAGGGAGAAACAAATTTTGGGTTCAGTATTTCACTGATTTCGAAAGGCTTTCAAGCAGCTAGCAATGAAAAATATGGATAAATCCTGACAGAAACTGAAACAGAAATTGAGACACTAACTAGTAATGAAGTCCAAACATTACATGCAGCCGCTTCAATAGCTCCTACTAAAATGTAGTCCTTAAAAACAACAAACGAGACTTACCCAACAACATCTGAAATATCTATTTCATATTCCATACAATACTCCTTGCTTGCTTAAGAAGTTCTTGTTGTGAATAGTTTATATTTAAGCTTACAATGGTGGGGGTATTTATTTCTGAAATTCCTGACGGCAAGCTGTCTAAAGTCTTAGCAATAGCAGAATGTATAGTTACATTAAGCAACTATTTTATCATACCATTTCATCTAAAATTGGCATTACAACTACACCATGAGTATGGATAAAAATAATGTAAATGGCAATCAAAATTCCATGGCTTTTGTGCATGATACTCGGTAGTACAAAAATATCTCACTAGCTTAGAACATTAGGAAATAGGCAAAATTCAAACATGTCATATTTACCTTTTGGTATTACTGCATTTGAAGAAGGTGTTCATATAATATAAGCGGGATCTTATAAGATTGACATTAATGCTGAGACAATTGATGGTAAAAATGCTTTTCACTCCAAACATATGGCTGTCTTTCAGTAGAAAACAGACACTTCAAACGCTATCATAAGTTCCGTAAATGTAACTTGAACTAGACAGATCTGTGACGTTTAAAGATTATAATAACAAACTTATGACATGCTTACCAATTGACAAGCAAAACATACTTATTGACCATGTCCTATGCTTATGGGGGAGATTCAGAATCGATACTTCGGACAAGTCTTGAATATTTATTTAACTTATTTCAGACAAAACCTAGATTCAGTACCAATTTCTACAGAAAACATTGACAAATTTTTCTCCAATACGGATCAGCTTTACAAAAGGCTATGATAATTCAAATTTGTATATACGTTTCTACCTTGTGCTCCAGTCATATGCACCAAACCTAGCAACAGTTTATTTTAAATACCATTGTGAAATAATGTTTGGATATGTGCAACAAAATGCTGTGCAAACTTTTGACCAGCAATTGCATTCCGAAGCACAAAAAGAAATATGGTCTATAGCAGACGTTTTATAGTCCCACATTATAAAAAATTAAGAATGTTGTTGGCTTTCATCTTTCTTTTATAGATGGTATAGAAAGTAAGTAAGTTATTAACTTCAGCTGGGCTAGATGATTATGTGTTGACTTTGGAGTTTATGCTCGAAATAAAGAAAGCATATTCTTATCTTCCAACAGTTTAATCGTAGTGTCCCAAAATTAATACTACCCTATGCTCTCATGGCTCCTTTATTTAAAGGATTTTCAATTGATAGAGAAACATAACCTATATAAAAAAAACATTGAATCAAAAGTATGGACGGCGTTCCTTGATTGTCGAAGTTCATGTTTTATCTTATCCAAAATCATTAAAGGCATTTACGATTTCTTTATTGTTTTTAAAGATCACACATTTGCTTGAAGAATTGAGAACACATACTGGTTTTCCTTGAGAGAACAATGTCAGCATACATGTATATCGTTGTTTTTACATGCAAGGGTAAAGATCTTGAAAGAAAAGTTGTGTATGCGACACACATAGTTCGGCTTGTCCAAGTATTTGATCGTGTTGAGGGTCTGAGGGATGTTGTCTGACTATGCATAGAACACTAAGTTACGAAAGGTATTTACTCACAGCTGAAACTACTATAACACATGTGTTATTGTAGTCTCAGCTCCTAGTCATAAATAAACTCATCATAGATACCAGGATTGAAATTTTGTATTTGCGCCATAAGATATTTACTCATAGTCATTTATATATAAAATACTGGAACTGGAACATGTGAGAATGCACCCTTTTCACTTTAAATGCTAGTTTAAGTAGTTATGATCAATTATCTACTATTTGAACGGTAGATGACTGTGACGATACAATGTTTTGTCATTGATTGCATGGGCGGATCCAGCCATTTTTAAAAGGAGGGATTTTTCAACCATACATTGTATGTCCCCATTCATAAGCATTGATCCTCAAAAAAAGGGGGATTTCAACCCCCAGAACCTGCCCCCTGGATCCGCCACTCGATTGGAATAATTGAAATTTGCTGTATGGATCCAAATCTGGGACATAATATATTAGTATAATAGTCCCAGTCCCAGGCCAAATAGTGCATATTTATTTGTTCAGTTTCTATTGTATAGTCATCATAGAAAATAGATGTAAATTACAAGTTGATGATTGAGAAAGAACTGTATATTTCATTTGCAGGAAATGCCAGAATAGCAAAAGAGTTGAATGAACTGGAACATTTATTGAAAGAAGGAGAATATGTAAGTACTATAACAGTACAAGTCGTGTTTCTTCAGGAGGGACTTTTAGGAGGGATTTGCGCCCTGCCCGGTTTTGTAGAATTTTTTGGCACCATGCCCCTTTTTCGTCATATTTTATAATTCTATGTCAATAAGCTGCTCAAATTTAAGTGGATTAATCTGTTTTTTGGATATAAAATCTATTTCTTCTTCAAATATTTGTAGTGAAAAATTAATGAAATTGGTCCAGAAGGTAAGAGACCATAGGATACATTGTAGCATAACCAATAAAGATCAACCAAATAAATGACTATCTGATAAACATGTCCAGGCTGGATTAAAGACTGTCACATAATGACCATTTATGGTAAAAGATAGTATGTAGCCCCTATAATTCTCGTTGATACAATTTCATTTGAACATTATTGTTTAGTGATATAGATGTCAGTTTCATTATGGCTTTTAACATCAGTTTTTGATATTAGAATTAATCGGTCATGTTTACCTCGTGGACTTCACTTTGATAAGATTATTTTCATTAAACACAGGTTTCTTTATATATCAAAACTTGTCAAATAAATATGTCGTTGTATTAAATATCAAATTGAAATCAGATCTTAAAGATTTTATTTTCTAGGTCTCTATTTCTTTCATGGTGTTAGAATTTAAAAATTATTTATCTGGACGATTACATGTATTTGAACTTGACATAAACCTTTACATGTGTTTTAATCAAGATATAGATTTGATGTTGATTTTATCTTCCTTTTGCTTTTATTTGTAATTAATGTCTGGTATGTAGTTAGCATGTACATTTACTTCAATATCAATTTGAGTAGAATTTGACCTGTAGTGGAACAAATTTAAAGGTCTTTTTTGCACAAATTCGGATCTACATTTTAAGGAACATGCAAGAATTTAAAAATAGAAACTTTACAAAAGACAAGAATGTCTTAAAAAAGTAAGCTTATCAAGGGAATTACCATCTTTGACATCTAAATTAAATGATATCGAAAAAGAATCATTAGAAGGTAACATTTCTTTTACTGAATTAACACAAGCTTTGAAAAGGATGAAAAATAATAAAAGTCCTGCGTCAGATGGTTTTACTGCAGAATTTTTTAAAGTATTTTGGATAGACATTGGAAAGTTTGTCTTGAGGTCAATAAATTATTCATATCAGATAAGGGAAATGTCTGTCACACAGAGGCAGGGAGTTATCACATGTATTCCAAAAGAAGGCAAAACAGTTCTTAAAAAAATGGCGTCCAATTACACTTTTGAATTCAACATACAAACTAGCTTCTAGTTGTATAGCTGAGAGGATAAAGTCAGTTCTAAACAGAATTATTGACTCTGATCAAACAGGCTTTATCCCGGGTAGATTTATTGGGGAGAACTGTAGACTTATATATGATATTTTACACTTTACAGAAGAAAAAGAGGGACAAAAGATACCAGAAGGACAGTCAAACTCATAGATCGAAAACAAACTGACAACGTCATGGCCAAAAATAAAAAGACAAAGAGACAAATAATAGTACAGATGACACATTGATTGATTGATTGTTTGGTGTTTTAACGCCACTTTTAAGCGCCACTTTTAGGCTATTTCGTGGCGGCCAGTTTTTTTTGGTGGAGGAAGCCGGAGTGCCCGGAGAAAACCACCGACCTTCGATAGGAAAACTGACAATCCTAGTCAATTAAGATTGGAGTCGAGTGCACCCGCACGAGCGGGGTTCGAACTCACAACCTCAGTGTTGACTGGCTAGTGATTACAGTAGTAGAACTACTTAGACCACTTGGCCAACGAGGCCCCCCAGATGACACAACATCGAAAACTAAAGACTAAGCAACACGAACCCCACCAAAAACTGGGGGTGATCTCAGGTGCTCCGGAAGGGTAAGCAGATCCTGCTCCACATGTGGCACCCGTCGAGTTGCTTATGTTATTACAAATCCGGTAAATAGTCTAATTCGGTAAGTCACATTCGTGAAAAGGGAAGGGTATTGTAGTTACGACATAAGGAACATATCCGATATCATCTGTGAAACGGTTATTCCATAACGGTCAACCAACTCGTGATGGCGTCCGTAAAATTTACGAAGGGATGACTTCAACTTCACTATTTGGAACTCTTGGTTTAATAGCTTCCTTGTGAGCAGCAATCCTCTATCAAGGAAATCATGATAGGAAACACAAACCCGGGAATATCGTATCAATTGGGAGATATATGCTCCGTATGCAGGCGCTGCTGAAATGTTGTTACATAGAAATGGAAAGTTCACAACTGGGAAGCCGAAATCATCTCTTTTGTCGTAAAGTTTTGTTTTCAACCGACCCTCGTTGTCAATTTCTAGATGTAAGTCAAGATATGAGACAGACTTAACTGTATCTGTAGTATCCTTTATCTCTAGTTCGATGGGATAGATTCGTTCAACATAGTCACCAAAAGAAAATGATATCCCTGGTATATTATTACTCATTGATTTTGATAAGGCCTTTGACTCTATATCATGGGCCTTTCTCTTGGAAACACTGAAGTATTTCAATTTTGGAGACTCTATTATGAACTGGATAAAAACATTTTATAATGATATTACATCTAATGTTACCCAGAACTGCTGTCTGTCAGACTTTTTCCGTGTGGAGAGAGGCTGTAGACAGGGGGATCCTTTGTCTCCTTACCTTTTCTTGCTATGTGCTGAAATATTAGGCATTTTAGTAAGAAGTAGTGGAGAGATAAAGGGTATTACGATAGACGATTCAGAGTATATCTTGTCTCAATATGCAGACGACACATCACTTATTTTAGATGGGTCGCCTTCCTCACTGGATGCATCTCTCCATATATTACAATTCTATGCTGAGATATCAGGACTGAAAATTAATTTAGACAAAACAAACGTTATATGGATAGGTAGTAAAAGACATAGTCAAGACAAAATATGTGTGAAGTGGGGACTGAAATGGGGTTTCAGTACCTTCAAATTATTAGGTATCACTTTCTGTGTTGATTTAGATAGAATGTTAAATCTGAACTATGCTCCTCAAATACAAGAAATAGAAAAAATATTACAAAAATGGTCAAAACAGTCACTTACCCCGTTTGGTAAAATAACAATTATAAAGTCACTAATTATATCAAAATTAAATCATCTGTTCCTGTCCATCCCAGGTCCAGATGATAATATGATACGTAAACTTAATAGTAAAATTTATTCATTCATTTGGGATGATAAGCCTGACAAGATAAAGCGGGATCTTCTATGCCAAGAATACTTTAGAGGGGGCCTAAAAATGATTAATTTGAGACATTTTATACAAGGGTTAAAACTTACTTGGATTAGAAGAATATTTAAGCCAAAATCCAAATGGATCCAATTATTTACCTCCACCCAAAATATAAATTTTACAGAGTTGGCTTATTTTGGAATTATTAAAAAATCAAAAAACAAATTTTGGGATGAAGTTTTTCATGCCTGGAAAATTATGTCAAAACTCAGACATCCATTTCATTTCGAGGAAGTCATTTCGACATCTATATGGCATAACGAACATATTAAAATTGATAACGTCAGCGATTACTATAAAAATTGGTCACATCATGGGGTATGGACTGTAAATGACCTGTTAGATGAACATGGAAATATATTAACATATGAAAATTTTGAAATTATGTATAATTTCAAACCCATGTTTTTACAGTTTTATGGGCTTATATTAGCACTTAAAAAATAGCTACAAGCCATTGGAATCAACACCGAAAGAGAAAAAAAACATCAGGCTATTATACCTTTTAACATTAATATTTTCATTAAGTCCGAAAAGGGTTCAAAGGACATGTATACTATTTTAAATCAAGGAACTTTCCCTTTAGATTTTGTAGCAAAAAAAAAATGGGAAGGTATTCTTAATAAAGTTATAGAAAATTGGAAAAAAATACACTTGTGTGTTACCAAGGTTTCAAAAAATACTAGGTTATGTTGGTTTCAATATAGGATTATTCATTATATCTTAGGGACTAATGCTCTACTCTTTAAAATGAAACTTGTTAACTGTAATTTGTGTACATTTTGCAAGGAAGAGCCTGAAACTATAGAACATTTACTTTGGGGTTGTCATATTGTAGCCGACATTTGGCACAATCTCAATTCTTGGATTTTCGATATAGTTCATATAGAAATTCCACTAAATTTGAATATTGTCATTTTTGGCCTCTATGAAAATTATAAATTGAATTTTATTTAAAAATAAAGTTATCTTACTGACAAAGTATTTCATTTACAGATGTAAGATGTAAGATATAAAACCTCATATTAAAGGTCTTCAAAATTACATAAAAGAAAACTTGATTTTAGAGAAACATATTTCTTCAAAATATTTAAGTATGAAAGAACACAACTTGTACTGGAACCCCTGGGCTAAGATCATTAATTAAATTTAAATTAGGTTAATGTATATACATATGTGTATATATATGAGTATTTGAAAGAACTTGTATACTAGTAGTTATACCATATGCATGCTCATATATTTCTTGCTCTACTATTACTATTATTACTATATTAATAAAAATGTTATTACTATACTTCATCCATAGATTTCAAAGTGTTAGTCCATAGGAGGCTTATCATGCTTATTTATTTCACTTGTTTGATTATTGTACCACAAGATAAATATATGTTGATAACTGTAAATTCATGAAGAAAAATAATAAATTATAAAAAAAAAACGAATTTAAAAATAAGAAGATGTAGTCTGACATGACGAGACAATTCTTTACCAGAGACCAAATGATTTAAGAACCATGTTTTATCAATCTAATCTTAATTGATATCAGGCCAAAAAACTATAGTTCTGTTTCCTTCCTCCTTATCTATCTTTAACATGTTTAATTTTCATGCCTATGTACCTGAACACATTTTATAAACAATTTTTGTTTTGAACATTTAAGATTCCAGAATATTTCCATATAATAATAGTCCATGTAAAATAATGAAAAAAAAACAAAATATTTTACCTACCTACCATCCTACCGTATGTATATTTTTGCCCTCATGCTTCTCTAAACATTTAACATGACATGTCTGAAGATAATTTGAAATCTGATCATACATACATAATGTTCTTAATTGTATTTGATTGAAAAAATTATTTTAAATTTTTCTTTAGTGAATTTGTTAATTAAGTGACAACTTAACCACCATTCTGTAATTTTAACGGAGAAAAAAATAACCAAAGACTTCAAGCAAGCAACAATCAGACACTAGGTGTCCATACACTACCTCAAGCTTTTAAATGTCTAGAGTCTGCAAAAACGAGTGTGAATAACGATCATCCATTTATATCTCATTCTCCAAATAACATGAAAAGAAAAGATATGAAATATGACAACCACCGACAAGATAGGATACGAACATTACAATGTGTTGTGGTTAAACCGATGTATGAATTACTTACTGTAAATTCAGAAATATTTGTTGCATTTATTATTGCGATTTTGAAGAATGGAAAAAAAGCGAGATTAATTTAAGTATTGCGATTTTCATGGAAAATATGCATACAGATTTATGTATGCGATATCAAAATGGGAGTTCTGATTATTGCAATATTCAACATGCTCATTCAGTCGCAATAATAAAACCTGTTAATGATTCCTAAAGCTTCAGTTTTCTATCCAACAATACTCACCATGCTCACTCAGTAGCCATTATAAAACCTGTTAATGATTCTCAAGCTAGAGTATTTTATCTAACAGTAGACCTGTACTTTACAGAGCATGTAAAACTTGTTATTTCTACCCTTCAATAGTCGGTAAGGTCAGAACTTCTAGATAGTGCCCTGTGCCCACCCTTTGGAGTGGGTATGCTATTGGTTTTATGTTTTCTTTTTTTCATTATCTGAGAATTGATCATACAGTACCAGTGGAAAAATAAGAAAAGTTATTGTACACTGAATTTAATGTTATGAATGGAAATGATTGGTGGGTAGGCGCTAACTCCAATAACACAGCACCCTCTATGATCAATGTCCTCTTTAATGAGTGATGCTACTGTGTTAGTAGTGAGCTTAATATAACAACTGGATTTTTTGGGTTAAGCAAACTTGTGTAAACAAAAAAATTCATGTCAGCTGTAATGTACATTAATGGTTTTATTTTATAGGAGACACAAAATCCCAGTGATGTCGAAGGAGAAAAGGAGACAGCATTGCAGGAACCATATGAAGTAGAAGAAGAAAGGGAGCTCGAGGTAATTATAAATGGGAATATTTTATTAGTTAAAATTGTGATAACAAATTGGAACTTTAGAACCAGTTGCAGTAAATTAGTTTTACTATGTATTGTTCACAGAAACTTTGCATTGCAACAGGAAAACCAACATAACCGTTTAAGTTTTTGACCCATGACCACAATGAACTTTTACAAAGTGAACCAATGAATAAAATAATTTGTTTCTTTTTAAAATTTGAATGTTCATTTATGCATAAAGGTTTTCATTCAAATTGTGTTTTAATAGGTCAGACAAGGAAGATTTGGGAAATTACAGACTTAATTAGAATTAATCGGCCATGTTTACCTCGTGGACTTCACTTTGATAAGATATTTTCATTAAATACAGGTTTCTTTATATATTATTATTTGGCAAATGAATATTTCGTTGTATTAATATCAAATTGAAATCATATCTTAAAGATTTTATTTTCTAGGTCTCTATTTTTTCCATGATGTTAGAATTTAAAAATTATTTATCTGGACGATTACATGTATTTGAACTTGACATAAACCTTTACATGTGTTTTTTATCAAGAGATGGATTTGATGTTGATTTTATCTCCCTTTTGCTTTTATTTGTAATTAATGTCTGGTATGTAGTTAACATGTACATTTACTTCAATATCAATTTGAGTAGAATTTGACCTGTAGTGTGACAAATTTAAAGGTCTTTTTGCACAAATTCGGTTTTATATTCAAAGGAACATGCAAAAAACCTAAAATAAGAAGATGTAGTCAGACATGATGAGACAATTCTTTACCAGAGACCAAATGACTTAAGGTCAAGTTACAGTAAATGAACGCAATCTAGCGGATTCCGCGAAATGTTGCGACGTTTTGTACGAGTTACGTCCCATTGACCAGATTTAGCAATGTTGCAACCGGCAACTTTCTGACGAGACAATGTTAAATTTGATGGAAAGTATGTTACTTCTAGGAGAATGAACTTGTTTGCTAAAATTTAAGATGAAGAAATGCTACAGAATTTTGAAAATTAATCATGAAAATAGTCATGAAGACTATCTCCAAAATGAAAATAGGGAACTTGAATTGCGTTAGGGAGGTAGGGTGGTAACGTTAGAGCTTGGATATCTCGCCGACCAGTTAAAACAGTGCAAAAACTGTAGCTCACCACTATTTTTACATAATTGTGATGAGGAAAAACAGTGTGGTCTCGGAAGTATTCTATATGTAGTATGTTAAAAACGTCCCTACAGAATCCCTACATGTCTATATTCTACATGTATACTGGGAAAAGACATCGTCTTGCAGAAAATAAGAAGGGGATGCAAGTTTGGGACATTTATACTAAACCTTTAGTCTTGGTAAGATATCCCCTATTTTGAAAATTACAACACCAGTCGGAACAAGTAAAAATATTTTCAAATTCAAGAAAAGGGAATGAACCACATAAAATTCTCAGCTGCGTCAGTCAGTTTTGAAACAGATGACACAAAACGATTTTAAAATAACATTACTAGTAACCTTCTTCACGATTGCAACAACCATTAAATATTTATACATCACAATTTTTAGGACTATAACACATAAATGATAAACAAAAAGTTATAGAGATTCATCGCTAGTCTGTTTCCTAACGATTTTTTGTAATGGTGTTTTCTTTCACGTCCGCAATTTTGTGGAAAGTTTCAAAGCTAAAAAAAGAACACAAATCCTTAAATAGATACATGTATAAATAGTATATGGTTTGAAGAGTTATACATGGTATATTTTCCTAATAAAAGAACATCCAGTGGATCATAAAAGAATTGTCTTAGTACTAATTAGTCTTATTATTTCCTCAAGGTAATTGATATATCAATGTTTAAAAAAATAACTGGAAACAAATAAAAATGTGTAGCCTGAAAGTTGCATCTCAAATATAGAATAGAACTGTCAATTCTCAATTCTATTTCACTCAGTTAAGAAAGAGATTCTATCGATCATGTCGATATCATACTATTAATATATACATGTGTGTGTATCTACTAAAAAAATATGCACACACACTTTCAGTACCCAAAGTAAAATGAAAATCACGTAATAAGTCTTTAATTCAGTAAGACAGCAACCAGACAATAACACCAGGCCACAAAAAAATGGAAAAGGAAAAGACATCTGATGTTGTGCATTTGTGCAGGTGGAATTTAACAAGTTAAAGACAAAATTTTCAGTCATGTTTCATTATGTGCGTGATTGCTCTTTTTAGGGTTGATACGCTTTTCAAGAGCTTCATTAATATAAATTGTTTTGATAAAATAAGGCCGTTAGTTTTCTTGTTTGAATTTATTCACATTTTTCAAATCGGGGCTTTTTATAGCCGACTAAACGACATAAGTTTTTTTGTCTTTTTTAAGTCCGTACGATAGTCTGTAATTGTTTATATCCACCTCATGTGAACTTTGGTGGATAGTTGTTTCAATGGCAATCAGACCACATCACCTTGTTTTTATATTTATTGGTGTCAAATACAGTTGTTCTCTGATGCCCATTAATTTATTGTCACATATAATAAGATTTAAAAGGGGTTTGCAGAATAGAGAAAAAAGAGCCAAAAAAAATAAAATAAAATAAAGGATAGAGAATAATGGTTCTCGAAAGTTTAAAGAATAACAATGGAAAATAAAATAATAAGTTAATATACTAGTGTAGTGGTTAAAGACATGAACCATGTACAGAATAAAGCAATCATGTAATATTAGAAGAATTTTACAATAAAATCATTTATTGAGGATTTTACAGAATAAGCGTTATATTCAAAATTAAAGAAATTTGCCATTAAAATTAGTTAAAGAATACAGAAGTTAAGGACACACTTCATATAGACCCTTAAATTAATCGTTGTATTATCTCGGTGTTGTTGGTAATAAACAAAACAAATCACTAGTCAAATTATGCAGAGGGTGTTGTATTTGATGCAATATATTCTTATCTTCCCGTTCCTAATGTATCTTCCATTTTTTTGATGTTTACATTGATCAAAGCCTTAGTTTAATATAGTTTCATGTTATTACTATACCCCCCATCCCCCCCCCCCCCCCCCCCCCCCCCCCCCCCCCCCCCCCATTTTGTGTATCGTGTACTGGTTCTATATACTTTGAGCATATACGTGCTCACTTTTTGATTTTATACAGAACGAAAAGAAAGTATCAAAGATGTCAGTTTGTATGCATGTTTTACATGTTAACTCATGAGATGTATTAATAACCACACGACACTCTTTCAAGAATTTGTAGAAGAATCATTGATATAATGTTTGTTGATATATGCGGTGTAAAATTCTATTAAACAATTGTATAATCTTTGTAAAAACAGACGACTGCACTGACATAAGGGAGCTACCATTTGATTTTTATGGGGGGCTAGGATGAAATTTGAAAAAAATAGGCAGGACAGGAGTTTTGAGGGAAAAAAAAGGCAGGATGAGATTATTTGGAAAAAAAAAAGGCAGGATGACAATTTATGTAAAAAAAAAGTCAGGATAAACTAAAAAAAAAAGGCAGGACCGAATAGAGTGAAAAATAAAAAGGCAGGACAAAATTTTTCATCCTAGCCCCCCCCCCATAAAAATCAAATGGTAGCTCCCTAATACAAGTTGCAGCAGCATATGAGCAGAACGCTTTCTGTCGTTATATAATACCAAAACAAGCTATATCAAATGTTCCACTGGTAAAGTTACCGGTTTTTCAAAAAGTGGCCAAATCTTATATCGGAACGGAGAAATAATGCAAACAGATGACCTGCAAGATAGTCTTTAAGAGATTTTGTTAATTGGTTACCTGACACAATGCAAAGCTTTTTTATTCGAGAGTTTTAGTCTTTTCCATGGAGAATAAATCTTTCTTTGATAGTTTTAAACAAAAATGTAAAGGTTTTGTTGACTCGCTATCTTTACTGAAAACTGTGCCACCAGAAAGGAAACACGGGTTAAGGTTATAACCAGGAGAGCCTAGTATTTGACATTCTTGGTGTCAAATACGACGCACATAATGCCGTTGGAGATGTTCAAGCATTAGGGAGCTACCATTTGATTTTTATGGGGGGGCTAGGATGAAATTTGAAAAAAATAGGCAAGACAGGAGTTTTGAGTAAAAATAAAGGCAGGATGAGATTATTTGCCAAAAAAAAGGCAGGATGACAATTTATGTAAAACAAAAGTCAGGATAAACTAAAAAAAAAGGCAGGACCGAATAGAGTGAAAAATAAAACGGCAGGATCGAATAGAGGGAAAAATAAAACGGTAGGACAAAATTTTTCATCCTAGCCCCCCCCCCCATAAAAATCAAATGGTAGCTCCCTTACAACAACTAGTAGAACATGTGTTGCTTCCCACTGAGAAATTTGAAACACACCCATTCTCAGTGGAATATTTTTGACAGTCTTATGAACGTGAGGGGTCTGATGGTGTTGCCAATCTCCTATCGGAACTTTTTTTTAGGAAAAGCCAGAGTCACAAAAGATAAAATAATTATAGTACATCTTTTTTTTGAGCCAAGACATTGGGATGATTTCTATTTTTATGTTATTACTATTTTTGCGTTCTTGTACTTACAAAGTATTTTCGTCTGAATAAGTAGTTGTTTTAAACATGTTTATTGATAATGAACATATCATATTTTTTACAACTGTTATAATTTAATTTGAAATACGTGTCCATAAAAGAGGGTTTGACTGGGGTTTACGGAATACAGAATAAAAGGCAAACACTGCAGAATAAAAGGCAAAAAAAAGAATAGAGAATGATGAGGTGCTAAAATATAAAGAGTAAAGAATACAATACTGGTAATACAAAATAAAAATTAATAAATGAAGGACCCACTATCCAGACCCTTATAATAAAAAGAATCTATCAATACAAAACACATAATCATCATGCGGAATCAGCAATAACTTGACGTTATGTAATAAAAATAAAGACGTCACGATTTTTGATGTTTTTTTCCCCCAAAATGTTGAGGTTGCGTCGTTTCTAGAGGGAAAACGAATTCGGTGACCATATCTTTTTTTCGCATTATCTTATTTGTTAGACTAAGAGGAAGAAATCATAATTTAAAAAAAAAATTCTATGGAGTGAATCTCGTGATTTATACAGGAAACCGAAAAGTGTAGAAGAAAAATAAGGATTTTCCCTAAATATTCAATGTAATTTAGTACCCTCACGGACCATTTTAAAAATTGCTTTTTCTCGAAAACGAAGTCGGTGACATATACTTTTTTTTAATTTTCTGATGTATATTTTCAATATCTAATGGAATTCTAAATTTCAAAAAAATCTATGGACTGGTCATTTACTGATCCTTGACCTTAAGAACCATGTTTTATCAATCTAATCTTAATTGATATCAGGCCAAAAAACTATAGTTCTGTTTCCTTCCTCCTTATCTATCTTTAACATGTTTAATTTTCATGCCTATGTACCTGAACACATTTTATAAACAATTTTAGTTTTGAACATTTAAGAGTCCAGAATATTTCCATATAATAATAGACCATGTTAAATAATTTTAAAAAATCAAAATATTTTACCTACCTTCCATCCTACCGTATTATTTTCTGGTTGTAGGCAGGAAACAAGTATGTATATTTTTGCCCTCATGCTTCTCTAGACATTTAACATGACATGTCTGAAGGTAATTTGAAATCTGATCATGCATACATAATGTTCTTAATTGTATTTGATTGAAAAAATTATTTTAAATTTTCTTTAGTGAATTTGTTAATTAAGTGACAACTTAACCACCATTCTGTAATTGTAATGGAGAAAAAAATAACCAAAGACATCAAGCAAGCAACAATCAGACACTATGTGTCCATACACTGCCTCAAGCTTTTAAATGTCTAGAGTCTGCAAAAACGAGTGTGAATAACGATCATCCATTAATATCTAATTCTCCAAATAACATGAAAAGAAAAGATATGAAATATGACAACCACCGACAAGATAGGATACGAACATTAAAATGTGTTGTGGTTAAACCAATGTATGAATTACTTACTGTAAATTCAGAAATATTTGTTGCATTTATTATTGCGATTTTGAAGAATGGAAAAAAAAGCGGGATTAATTTAAGTATTGCGATTTTCATGGAAAATATGCATACAGATTTATGTATGCGATGTCAAAATGGGAGTTCTGATTATTGCAATATTCAACATGCTCATTCAGTCGCAATAATAAAACCTGTTAATGATTCCTAAAGCTTCAGTTTTCTATCTAACAATACTCACCATGCTCACTCAGTCGCCATTATAAAACCTGTTAATGATTTCTCAAGCTAGAGTATTTTATTTACCAGTAGACCTGTAATTTACAGAGCATGTAGGTCTTGTTATTTCTACCCTTCCATAGTCAGTAAGGTCAGAACATCTAGATAGTGTCCTGTGCCCACCCTTTGGAGTGGGTATGCTATTGGTTTTATGTTTTCTTTTTTTCATTATCTGAGAATTGATCATACAGTACCAGTGGAAAAAAAAGAAAAGTTATTGTACACTGAATTTAATGTTATGAATGGAAATGATTGGTGTGTAGGCTCTTACTCCAATAACACAGCACCATCTATGATCAATGTCCTCCTTAATGAGTGATGCTACTGTGTTAGTAGTGAGCTTAATATAACAACTGGATTTTTTGGGTTAGGCAAACTTGTGTAAACAAATAAGTTCATGTCAGCTGTAATGTACATTAATTGTTTTATTTTATAGGAGACACAAAATCCCAGTGATGTCGAAGGAGAAAAGGAGACAGCATTGCAGGAACCATATGAAGTAGAAGAAGAAAGGGAGCTCGAGGTAATTATAAATGGGAATGTTTTATAAGTTAAAATTGTGATAACAAATTGGAACTTTAGAACCAGTTGCAGTAAATAAATTTTACTATGTATTGTTCACAGAAACTCTGCATTGCAACAGGAAAACCAACAGAACCGTTAAAGTATTTGACCCATGACCACAATGAACTTTTACAAAGTGAACCAATGAATAAAATAATTTGTTTCTTTTTAAAATTTGTATGTTCATTTATGCATAAAGGTTTTCATTCAAATTGTTTTTTTTAATAGGTCAGACAAGGAAGATTTGGGAAATTACACACTTAATTAGAATTAATCGGCCATGTTTACCTCGTAGACTTCACTTTGATAAGATATTTTCATTAAATACAGGTTTCTTTGTATATCAATATTTGGCAAATGAATATGTTTTATAAAAAGACCATAAACCCACTTATTCATGGTATGGTATCAATATTTCTGACCTAACACTACGTACTTTTTATTGCTTAATTCTTTAGAACTTAATATGCAATGTTTCGGGTTCTTTCGGGAGTATTCCCAGGTAAACCCTCATCAGAGGCCGACCTTTAGCTATTTATTTCGTATCTAGTATCATAGATAGATGTGTGTCTGTTTCATAACAGTTTTTTTATTTAATTTATTAACTACACGTGCATATAGGTCTACGTTGTAGCTAGTCTTTTTACAGACTAAAGAAACTGACCAAGTAGATCAGCACCTTTGGTTAATTATTCATATATATAATGAAAAGACTTATTGTCTTTATTCTCGTAATCTAATCTATCATAAATCTACACGAGATATAATAGTTAGTAGTTATCAGTGCTATACTGTTGAATTCACACTAGACTGCCGTGTATGTTTTAACACCTATTTGATAATATACAAATGTCTCCATGTTAAACAATTGAAGAGGTTTGTGTAGATACCATGTCGGGTCTATGCATGAATATAACAGGAACCATTGTGTTTTCCCTTGTACGTGATCTCTTGAAATAAATCGGCATCACGTCTTTTTACATCTGTTTCACAGTATAATGATTGTATACTAAAGCCTCCCGTGGTGGGGTATTGTGGATCAATGTCTTCGGCTTAATGATTAATTATCATGTTGCCAATATTCTTATTGTTTTTTAAACCAATATCTGGTTTGGATTTAGATAGTTTTTTTTTTAGTTTTTTTGTTGTTTTTTTTTTGGCAATCGGATCTTTCCGAATTATATACCAAATTTTGTTATTACCGTGTTAAGATATTCAAGATATTTCTGCCACTTGTTTTCTAATATTTGGTTTCTTTTGAAGTTGCTGTCTGCATTTATGCTAACTCAGCCTAACTGTATTTGTTAGGGAGAAATCCGCAAGACATTTACACTTTAGACCGTATTTATACGTTTATCTTATAAGTACATGTTGCTATTGATTCTAAGAATTCTCGTACCTTCAGAAGGAATGAAAACAATGTACTATTTCAAATAGTTGTTCACTTTGTTCACCTTCTTCATTAAATATATTAAATCCATCAATTCTCATTCTTTAGTGGAATTTAATATTATTTTCGTAGGGTATTTCTCTGTTTTATGTCTATAATTATGGTTAAATATAGCAATATCAGATATTTCCAGGGAGGCAACTCTGCCCATTGAAACGCCAACGATCTGTTGCTAGTATAATAGTATTTCTTTCGTTGTTCATTGACAATCATATTTATTTGTTATTAGTGTCCATGTAACCTTCAACGGCTTGACATAATAATTATTATCGATATTAGTTGCTTAACGTCCTGTTGCCAATATTTCATGTATGTTTAGGACTGTGATATAGTGATGACATAAGGTTGTTTGCTAGTATAATAGTATAACTTCCATAGTTCGTTGACAATCATATTAGTTGTAGTTAGTTTCCATGCTACCTTCTAAGGTTTGACATGATACAGCGATAACTTAACGATTTGTGGTTGCTTAGCATCCAGTGGCAAATATTTCATGTATGTTAAGGAATATGATATAGTGATGACATAAGGTTGTTTGCTAGTATAATAGTATAACTTCCATAGTTCATTGACAATCATATTAATTTGTAGTTAGTTTCCATGCTACCTTGTAAGGTTTGACATGATATAGCGATAAATTAAAGATTTTTAGTTGCTAAGCATCCAGTGGCAAATATTTCATGTATGTTTAGGACTATGATATAGTGATGACATAAGGTTGTTTGCTAGTATAATAGTACAACTTCCATAGTTCATTGACAATCATATTAGTTTGTAGTAAGTTTCCATGCTACCTTCTAAGGTTTGGCATAATACAGCGATAAATTAAAGATTGTTGGTTGCTTAGCCTCCAGTGGCAAATATTTCATGTATGTTTAGGACTATGATATAGTGATGACATAAGGTTGTTTGCTAGTATAATAGTATAACTTCCATAGTTCATTGACAATCATATTAGTTTGTAGTTAGTTTCCATGCTACCTTCTAAGGTTTGACATGATACAGTGATAAATTCAAGATTGTTGGTTGCTAAGCATCCAGTGGCAAATATTTCATGTATGTTTAAGACTGATATAGTGATGACATAAGGTTGTTTGCTGGTATAATAGTATAACTTCCATAGTTCATTGACAATCATATTAGTTTGTAGTTAGTTTTTATGATACCTTCTTAGGTTTGACTTGATACAGCATCCAGTGGCAAATATTCCATGTATGTTTAGGACTATGATATAGTGATGACATAAGGTTGCTTGCTAGTATAATAGTATAACTTCCATAGTTCATTGACAATCATATTAGTTTGTAGTAAGTTTCCATGCTACCCTAAGGTTTGACATGATATAGCGATAAATTAACGATTGTTGGTTGCTTAGCATCCAGGGGCAAATATTTTATGTATGTTTAGGACTATGATATAGTGATGACATAAGGTTGTTTGCTAGTATAATAGTTTAACTTCCATAGTTCATTGACAATCATATTAGTTTGTAGTTAGTTTTCATGATACCTTCTAAGGTTTGACATGATACAGCGATAGATTAAAGTTTGTTGGTTGCTTAGCATCCAGTGGCAAATATTTCATGTACGTTAAGAACGATGATACATATAGTGGTGAAACAAGGTTGTTTGCTAGTATAATAGTATAACTTCCATAGTTCATTGACAATCATATTAGTTTGTAGTTAATTTTCATGCTACCTTCTAAGGTTTGACATGAAACAGTGATGAATTGAACATTTGTTGGTTGCTTAGCATCCAGTGGCAAATATTTCATGTATGTTTAGAAATATGATAGATATAGTGGTGGAACAAGGTTGTTTGCTAGTATAATAGTATAACTTCCATAGTTCATTGACAATCATATTATTGTAATTAGTTTCCATGCTACCTTCTAAGGTTTGACATGAAACAGCGATGAATTGAAGATTTGTTGGTTGCTTAGCATCCAGTGGCAAATATTTCATGTATGTTTAGGACTATGATATAGTGATGACATAAGGTTGTTTGCTAGTATAATAGTATAACTTCCATAGTTCATTGACAATCATATTAGTTTGTATTTAGTTTCCATGCTACCTTCTGAGGTTTGACATGATTCAGCGATGAATTAAAGATTTGTTGGTTGCTTAGCATCCAGTGGCAAATGTTTTATGTATGTTTAGAACTATGATACATATAGTGGTGGAACAAGGTTGTTTGCTAGTATAATATTATAACTTCCATAGTTCATTGACAATCATATTAGTTTGTAGTTAGTTTCCATGCTACCTTCTAAGGTTTGACACGATACAGCGATGAATTTTTGATTGTGGTTACTTAAAGTCCAGTGACAAATATTTCATGTATGTTTTAGACGATGATATATAAAGTGATAACATAAGGTTGTTTGCTAGTATAATAGTATAACTTCCCTTAGCTAGTTCATTTACAATCATATCAGTTTGTAATTATTTTCCATGTTACCTTCTTAGGTTTTACATAGTGATGAATTATTGATTGTTGATTGCTATACGTCCAATTGCAAATATTTCAAGTATGTTTAAGGACTATGTTGACATAAGGTTGTTTGCTAGTATAATAGTATAACTTCTATGTTTCAGTCAAATATGATTCGGTATCATTTTCCAATATATATATATATATATATATATATATCAGTGTCTTGTATGTTATATGCATACATTTTGTTTCTGTATTATTTTATTTTATTTTTATTCATTACTTTATTGTTTCAGGTATATCTTTGTTTCATATGTAAATAGTGATAGCTATATAGTAGATCTATGTTATTTACATAATTAGTTACATGTATATTGTATAAGATGTACAGTGTTATATACATAAAGAAAGATGTACAGTATTATATACATATAGAATTGTATATTATTACATTGTGCATATAGTATAGTGTCGTACGTAGTTTCTCGACCAGAAATACGTCGTACCATAGCATAAATAAGGATCAAAAATTCTATAATTAAATAGAACCTGATTCAACGGGTGAGATCACAACTAGTGAAATATTCATCGTATCAAATTGTTTTATAAAAAGACCATAAACCCACTTATTCATGGTATGGTATCAATATTTCTGACCTGACACTACGTACTTTTTATTGCTTAATTCTATAGAATTTAATAAGCAATGTTTCGGGTTCTTTCGGGAGTATTCCCAGGTAAACCCTCATCAGAGGCCGACCTTTAGCTATTTATTTCGTATCTAGTATCATAGATAGATGTGTGTCTGTTTCATAACAGTTTTTTTATTTAATTTATTAACTACACGTGCATATAGGTCTACGTTGTAGCTAGTCTTTTTACAGACTAAAGAAACTGACCAAGTAGATCAGCACCTTTGGTTAATTATTCATATATATAATGAAAAGACTTATTGTCTTTATTCTCGTAATCTAATATATCATAAATCTACACGAGATCTAATAGTTAGTAGTTATCAGTGCTATACTGTTGAATTCACACTAGACTGTCGTGTATGTTTTAACACCTATTTGATAATATACAAATGTCTCAATGTTTAACAATTGAAGAGGTTTGTGTAGATACCATGTCGGGTCTATGCATGAATATAACAGGAACCATTGTGTTTTCCCTTGTACGTGATCTCTTGAAATAAATCGGCATCACGTCTTTTTACATCTGTTTCACAGTATAATGATTGTATACTAAAGCCTCGCGTGGTGGGGTATTGTGAATTAATGTCTTCGGCTTAATGATTAATTATCATGTTGCCAATATTCTTATTGTTTTTTAAACCAATATCTGGTTTGGATTTAGATAGTTTTTTTTTATAGTTTTTTTCGTTTTTTTTTTGGCAATCGGATCTTTCCGAATTATATACCAAATTTTGTTATTACCGTGTTAAGATATTCAAGATATTTCTGCCACTTGTTTTCTAATATTTGGTTTCTTTTGAAGTTGCTGTCTGCATCTATGCTAACTCAGCCTAACTGTATTTGTTAGGGAGAAATCCACAAGGCATTTACACTTTAGACCGTATTTATACGTTTATCTTATAAGTACATGTTGCTATTGATGCTAAGAATTATCGTACCTGTCAACACTATATCACAGTCCTAAACATACATGAAATATTGGCAACAGGACGTTAAGCAACTAATGTCGATAATAATTATTATATCAAGCCGTTGAAGGTTACATGGAAACTAATAACAAATATATATGATTGTCAATGAACAACAAAAGTTATACTATTATACTAGCAACAGATCGTTGGCGTTTCAATGGGCAGAGTTACCTCCCTGGAAATATCTGATATTGCTATATTTAACCATAATTATAGATATAAAACAGAGAAATATCCTACGAAAATAATATTAAATTCCACTAAAGAATGAGAATTGATGGATTTAATATATTTAATGAAGAAGGTGAACAAAGTGAACAACTATTTGAAATAGTACATTGTTTTCATTCCTTCTGAAGGTACGTGAATTCTTAGAAACAATAGCAACATGTACTTATAAGATAATCGTATAAATAAGGTCTAAAGTGTAAATGTCTTGCAGATTTCTCCCTAACAAAACAATAAGGCTAAGTTAGTTAAGATGCAGACAGCATCTTCGAAAGAAACCACCAAATATTAGAAAACAAGTGGCAGAAATATCTTGAATATCTTAACACGGTATTAACAAAATTTGGTATATAATTCGGAAAGATCCAATTGCCAAAAAAATAAATAAAAAAAAAACTATCTAAATCCAAACCAGATATTGGTTTAAAAAACAATAAGAATATTGGCAACATGATAATTAATCATTAAGCCGAAGACATTCATTCACAATACTCCACCACGGGAGGCTTTAGTATAAAATCATTATACTGTGAAACAGATGTAAAAAGACGTAATGCCGATTTATTTCAAGAGATCACATACAAGGGAAAACAGAATGGTTCCTGTTATATTCATGCATAGACCCGACATGGTATCTACACAAACCTCTTCAATTGTTAAACATGGAGACATTTGTATATTATCAAATAGGTGTTAAAACATACACGACAGTCTAGTGTGAATTCAACAGTATAGCACTGATAACTACTATCTCTATTAGATCTCGTGTAGATTTATGATATATTAGATTACGAGAATAAAGACAATAAGTCTTTTCATTATATATATGAATAATTAACCAAAGGTGCTGATCTACTTGGTCAGTTTCTTTAGTCTGTAGAAAGACTAGCTACAACGTAGACCTATATGCACGTGTAGTAAATTTGAAAAAAAACTGTTATGAAACAGACACACATCTATCTACTATACTAGATATAAAATAAATATATGAAGGTCGGCCTCTAATGAGGGTTTACCTTGGATTATTCCCGAAAGAACCCGAAACCTTTCATATTAAATTCTAAAGAATTAAGCAATAAAAAGTACGTAGTGTCAGGTCAGAAATATTGATACCATACCATGAATAAGTGGATTTATGGTCTTTTTATAAAACTCGTTGAATTAATATCAAATTGAAATCAGTTCTTAAAGATTTTATTTTCTAGGTCTCTATTTCTTTCATGATGTTAGAATTTAAAAATTATTTATCTGGACAATTACATGTATTTAAACTTGACATAAACCTTTACACTTGTTTGTATCAAGATATAGATTTGATGTTGATTTTGTCTCTCTTTTGCTTTTATTTGTAATTAATGTCTTGTATGTAGTTAACATGTACATTTACTTCAATATCAATTTGAGTAGAATTTGACCTGTAGTGGAACAAATTTAAAGGTCTTTTTGCACAAATTCGGTTTTATATTTTAAGGAACATGCAAGAATTTAAAAAAAAGAAGATGTAGTCAGACATGACAAGACAATTCTTTACCAGAGACTAAATGATTTAAGAACCATGTTTTATCAATCTAATCTTAATTGATATCAGGCCAAAAAACTATAGTTCTGTTTCCTTCCTCCTTATCTATCTTTAACATGTTTAATTTTCATGCCTATGTACCTGAACACATTTTATGGACAATTTTAGTTTTGAACATTTAAGATTCCAGAATATTTCCATATAATAATAGTCCATGTAAAATAATTAAAAAAAAACAAAATATTTTACCTACATGTACCTACCATCCTACCGTATTATTTTCTGCTTGTAGGCAGGAAACAAGTTTGTATATTTTTGCCCTCATGCTTCTCTAAACATTTAACATGACATGTCTGAAGATAATTTGAAATCTGATCATGCATACATAATGTTCTTAATTGTATTTGATTGAAACAATTATTTAAATTTTTTCTTTAGTGAATTTGTTAATTAAGTGACAACTTGACCACCATTCTGTAATTGTAATGGAGAAAAAAATAACCAAAGACATCAAGCAAGCAACAATCAGACACTAGCTGTCCATACAATACTTCAAGCTTTTAATTGTCTAGAGTCTGCAAAAACAAGTATGAATAACGATTATCCATTAATATCTAATTCTCCAAATAACATGAAAAGAAAAGATATGAAATATGACAACCACCACAAGATAGGACACGAACGTTAATGATTCCTAAAGCTACAGTTTTCTATCTAACAATACTCACCATGCTCACTCAGTCGCCATTATAAAACCTGTTAATGATTTCTCAAGCTAGAGTATTTTATCTAACAGTAGACCTGTACTTTACAGAGCATGTAGGTCTTGTTATTTCTACCCTTCAATAGTCGGTAAGGTCAGAACTTCTAGATAGTGTCCTGTGCCCACCCTTTGGAGTGGGTATGCTATTTTTTCATTTTTTCCTTTCTTCATTATCTGAGAATTGATCATACAGTACCAGTGGAAAAATAAGAAAAGTTATGATCCATTGAATTTAATGTTATGAATGGAAATGATTGGTGGGTAGGCGCTAACTCCAATAATACAGCACCCTCTATGATCAGTGTCCTCCTTAATGAGTGATGCTACTGTCTTAGTAGTGAGCTTAATATAACAACTGGATTTTTTGGGTTAGGCAAACTTGTGTAAACAAAAAAATTCATGTCAGCTGTAATGTACATTAATGGTTTTATTTTATAGGAGACACAAAATCCCAGTGATGTCGAAGGAGAAAAGGAGACAGCATTGCAGGAACCATATGAAGTAGAAGAAGAAAAGGAGCTCGAGGTAATTATAAATGGGAATGTTTTATAAGTTAAAATTGTGATAACAATTTGGAACTTTAGAACCAGTTGCAGTAAATTAGTTTTACTATGTATTGTTCACAGAAACCTTGCATTGCAACAGGAAAACCAACATAACCGTTTAAGTTTTTGACCCATGACCACAATGAACTTTTACAAAGTGAACCAATGAATAAAATAATTTGTTTCTTTTTAAAATTTGTATGTTCATTAATGCATAAAGGTTTTCATTCAAATTGTTTTTTTAATAGGTCAGACAAGGAAGATTTTGGAAATTACAGACTTAATTAGAATTAATCGGCCATGTTTACCTCGTGGACTTCACTTTGATAAGATATTTTCATTAAATACAGGTTTCTTTATATATCAATATTTGGCAAATGAATATGTCGTTGAATTAATATCAAATTGAAATCAGATCTTAAAGATTTTATTTTCTAGGTCTCTATTTCTTTTATGATGTTAGAATTTAAAAATTATTTATCTGGACAATTACATGTATTTAAACTTGACATAAACCTTTACACATGTTTGTATCAAGATATAGATTTGATGTTGATTTTGTCTCTCTTTTGCTTTTATTTGTAATTAATGTCTTGTATGTAGTTAACATGTACATTTACTTCAATATCAATTTGAGTAGAATTTGACCTAAAGTGGAACAAATTTAAAGGTCTTTTTGCACAAATTAGGTTTTATATTTTAGGGAACATGCAAGAATTTAAAAAAAAGAAGATGTAGTCAGATATGACGAGACAATTCTTTACCAGAGACCAAATGACTTAATAACCATGTTTTATCAATCTAATCTTAATTGATATCAGGTCAAAAAATATAGTTCTGTTTCCTTCCACCTTATCTATCTTTAACATGTTGAATTTTCATGTCTATGTACCTTAACACATTTTATGAACAAATTCTGGTTTTGAACATTTAAGATTCCAGGATATTTCCATATAATAATAGACCATGTAAAATAATTAAAAAAAACAAAATATTTTACCTACCTTCCATCCTACCGTATTATTTTCTGCTTGTAGGCAGGAAACAAGTATGTATATTTTTGCCCTCATGCTTCTCTAGACATTTAACATGACATGTCTGAAGATAATTTGAAATCTGATCATGCATACATTATGTTCTTAATTGTGTTTGATTGAAACAATTAATTAAAATTTTTCTTTAGTGAATTTGTTAATTAAGTGACAACTTGACCACCATTCTGTAATTGTAATGGAGAAAAAAATAACCAAAGACATCAAGCAAGCAATAATCAGACACTAGGTGTCCATACACTACCTCAAGCTTTTAAATGTCTAGAGTCTGCAAAAACGAGTGTGAATAACGATCATCCATTAATATCTAATTCTCAAAATAACATGAAAAGAAAAGATATGAAATATGACAAGTACGAGTTGACATGTATCCAAAGTATGAGAAGTTCTCTTCTTGGAAAAGTGTACTGTTAATATATTATGGCGGTTGATTGATTTCGTTTGTAGCCTAACGTCCATGGCAGGGGCAAATATTTGTTTTTCATGTTCAGAACGAGTATATTTTTCGGACGTCCCAGATATCATTTATAATCGTTATGGATAAGTCTGTCTAAATTGACGAGATGGTACAAATGTACATACTTATACAACACCTGATCAATATCCCTATATACATGACATATACACTGTACAATTTTCGATCGAACATTTGGCAAAACAGAATCTTAAATCATATAAATCCAAGGCAAACAAGCTGAATTACGATTTAAAATCCATGTATTAAATGCATAGAGTTATATTTAGGAAGAGACTGTTAAAAATGGGGAACGAAGCAACGCAAACCATGATGTTTATATCCCATCATATACAAATATTTTTCCGATGTGTTGGATAACCTTTCTATTTGCCTCGATATTTGTACATGTAACTTTTGAAAAGAAAATATAGAAAATCTGCTTCTCGGGAAAATTATTTGAACTGATTTTTTGTAATTAATAAAAGTTAATATTTCGAATTAAAAGTGTTTTTGAATTGTTCTGGTTTGAAACACTTGTACATAAAATATTAAGATACAAGTCGTTTTAATTAAAAATAAATGTACAAATGAACACGAAGTTTATTTCTTAATTTAAACAATCAGTTAACGCGAAAAGTAAACGCGCGTTTACTTTCAAGTGCACGTAGAAATACACTTGTGAAATCTGTAGTAGACGCCCGTTTACTTTTAAGTGTACGTACAAATAAACTTGTGAAATCTGAAGTAAACGCCCGTTTACTACTGACTAAACGGACACATAGTAAACGCCCGTTTACTCGGGTAGACATTAGAAATTTCCTTTTTGACCGCGTTAACGTAATTATAGTAAACACGCGTTTACTAGTAAACGGGAAAATTGAAGTTAACTAACGAAATATGTGCACGCGGCGTTAACTTGCGTTTACTTTATGTAATGCTTGGTCTGCACCCAACTGTACCTACCATCCTACCGTATTATTTTCTGCTTGTAGGCAGGAAACAAGTATGTATATTTTTGCCCTCATGCTTCTCTAAACATTTAACATGACATGTCTGAAGATAATTTGAAATCTGATCATGCATACATAATGTTCTTAATTGTATTTGATTGAAACAATTATTTAAATTTTTTCTTTAGTGAATTTGTTAATTAAATGACAACTTGACCACCATTCTGTAATTGTAATGGAGAAAAAAATAACCAAAGACATCAAGCAAGCAACAATCAGACACTAGCTGTCCATACAATACTTCAAGCTTTTAAATGTCTAGAGTCTGCAAAAACAAGTATGAATAACGATCATCCATTAATATCTAATTCTCCAAATAACATGAAAAGAAAAGATATGAAATATGACAACCACCACAAGATAGGACACGAACGTTAATGATTCCTAAAGCTACAGTTTTCTATCTAACAATACTCACCATGCTCACTCAGTCGCCATTATAAAATCTGTTAATGATTTCTCAAGCTAGAGTATTTTATCTAACAGTAGACCTGTACTTTACAGAGCATGTAGGTCTTGTTATTTCTACCCTTCAATAGTCGGTAAGGTCAGAACTTCTAGATAGTGTCCTGTGCCCACCCTTTGGAGTGGGTATGCTATTTGTTTCATTTTTTCCTTTCTTCATTATCTGAGAATTGATCATACAGTACCAGTGGAAAAATAAGAAAAGTTATGATCCATTGAATTTAATGTTATGAATGGAAATGATTGGTGGGTAGGCGCTAACTCCAATAATACAGCACCCTCTATGATCAGTGTCCTCCTTAATGAGTGATGCTACTGTCTTAGTAGTGAGCTTAATATAACAACTGGATTTTTTGGGTTAGGCAAACTTGTGTAAACAAAAAAATTCATGTCAGCTGTAATGTACATTAATGGTTTTATTTTATAGGAGACACAAAATCCCAGTGATGTCGAAGGAGAAAAGGAGACAGCATTGCAGGAACCATATGAAGTAGAAGAAGAAAAGGAGCTCGAGGTAATTATAAATGGGAATGTTTTATAAGTTAAAATTGTGATAACAATTTGGAACTTTAGAACCAGTTGCAGTAAATTAGTTTTACTATGTATTGTTCACAGAAACTTTGCATTGCAACAGGAAAACCAACATAACCGTTTAAGTTTTTGACCCATGACCACAATGAACTTTTACAAAGTGAACCAATGAATAAAATAATTTGTTTCTTTTTAAAATTTGTATGTTCATTAATGCATAAAGGTTTTCATTCAAATTGTTTTTTTAATAGGTCAGACAAGGAAGATTTGGGAAATTACAGACTTAATTAGAATTAATCGGCCATGTTTACCTCGTGGACTTCACTTTGATAAGATATTTTCATTAAATACAGGTTTCTTTATATATCAATATTTGGCAAATGAATATGTCGTTGAATTAATATCAAATTGAAATCAGATCTTAAAGATTTTATTTTCTAGGTCTCTATTTCTTTCATGATGTTAGAATTTAAAAATTATTTATCTGGACAATTACATGTATTTAAACTTGACATAAACCTTTACACATGTTTGTATCAAGATATAGATTTGATGTTGATTTTGTATCTCTTTTGCTTTTATTTGTAATTAATGTCTTGTATGTAGTTAACATGTACATTTACTTCAATATCAATTTGAGTAGAATTTGACCTGAAGTGGAACAAATTTAAAGGTCTTTTTGCACAAATTAGGTTTTATATTTTAGGGAACATGCAAGAATTTAAAAAAAAGAAGATGTAGTCAGATTTGACGAGACAATTCTTTACCAGAGACCAAATGACTTAATAACCATGTTTTATCAATCTAATCTTAATTGATATCAGGCCAAAAAATATAGTTCTGTTTCCTTCCACCTTATCTATCTTTAACATGTTGAATTTTCATGTCTATGTACCTTAACACATTTTATGAACAAATTCCGGTTTTGAACATTTAAGATTCCAGGATATTTCCATATAATAATAGACCATGTAAAATAATTAAAAAAAACAAAATATTTTACCTACCTACCATCTACCGTATTATTTTCTGCTTGTAGGCAGGAAACAAGTATGTATATTTTTGCCCTCATGCTTCTCTAGACATTTAACATGACATGTCTGAAGATAATTTGAAATCTGATCATGCATACATTATGTTCTTAATTGTGTTTGATTGAAACAATTATTTAAAATTTTTCTTTAGTGAATTTGTTAATTAAGTGACAACTTGACCACCATTCTGTAATTGTAATGGAGAAAAAAATAACCAAAGACATCAAGCAAGCAACAATCAGACACTAGGTGTCCATACACTACCTCAAGCTTTTAAATGTCTAGAGTCTGCAAAAACGAGTGTGAATAACGATCATCCATTAATATCTAATTCTCCAAAAAACATGAAAAGAAAAGATATGAAATATGACAACCACCGACAAGATAGGGTACGAACATTAAAATGTGTTGTGGTTAAACCGATGTATGAATTACTTACTGTAAATTCAGAAATATTTGTTGCATTTATTATTGCGATTTTGAAGAATGGAAAAAGAAGCGAGATTAATTTAAGTATTGCGATTTTCATGGAAAATATGCATACAGATTTATGTATGCGATATCAAAATGGGAGTTATTGATTATTGCAATATTCAACATGCTCATTCAGTCGCAAATTATAATAAAACCTGTAAATGATTCCTAAAGCTTCAGTTTTCTATCTAACAATACTCACCATGCTCACTCAGTCGCCATTATAAAACCTGTTAATGATTTCTAAAGCTAGAGTATTTTATTTACCAGTAGACCTGTACTTTACAGAGCATGTATGTCTTGTTATTTCTACCCTTCAATAGTCGTTAAAGGGAGAACTTCTAGATAGTCCCCTATGCCCACCCTTTGGAGTGGGTATGCTATTGGTTTCATTTTTCCTTTCTTCATTATCTGAGAATTGATCATACAGTACCAGTGGAAAAATAAGAAAAGTTATGGTCCATTGAATTTAATGTTTTGAATGGAAATGATTGGTGGGTAGGCGCTAACTCCAATAATACAGCACCCTCTATGATCAGTGTCCTCCTTAATGAGTAATGCCTACTGTGATAGTAGTGAGCTTAATATAACAACTGGATTTTTTGGGTTAAGCAAACTTGTGTTAACAAAAAAATTCATGTCAGCTGTAATGTACATTAAAGGTTCTTTTTTATAGAAGACACAAAATCCCAGTGATGTCGAAGAAGAAAGGGAGACAGCATTGCAGGAACCGGATGAAGTAGAAGAAGAAAGGGAGCTCGAGGTAATTATAAATGGGAATGTTTTATAAGTTAAAATTCTGATAAGAAATTGGAACTTTAGAACCATTTGCAGTAAATAAATTTTACTATGTATTGTTCACAGAAACTCTGCATTGCAACAGGAAAACCAACAGAACCGTTTAAGTATTTGACCCATAACCACAATGAACTTTTACTACGTGAACCAATGAATAAAATAATTTGTTTCTTCTCGAAATATGTATGTTCCTTTATGCATAAATGTTTTCATTCAAATTGGTTTTTTTTATTAGGTCAGACAAGGAAGATTTGGAAAATTACAGACTCCTCAACGACATCTTGACAGTCCCAGCAAGTCTTATGCTAGGAAAATGAAAGAAGGCATGCAAAAAGTAACACAAAGGGAAAGGTTGTTGGCAGAGAGAAAAAGGAAACAATGCAGGAAACCAAATGAAGCACAACCTATAGATGATCCAGAGGTATTTAGAATATGTCACAGTGTGGCAGCTCTTTTGTTAAAGGCATAAACGAATGTTTCACTGACCTGGCGAATGATAATTATTAGTGCCTACCCTAAAAATGTTTTTGGGTCATTGATGGGCAAGCAATATTACAGTTTAGACTGTATAACCTGGTTAAGAACAAGTTAACAAATTTGGGAAAAAAATTATTTGTGTATCTAGCATCCCAAATGTTTTGACCATTTTAGCGGAAACACATTTGTTTTTTGGTTATCCAAATGATGGCTGCTAGTTGTTGACCTCTGATGGTTTACGATTTACAAGAGTTAACCCTTAATTGTAATTCCACTGCCAATTTCTTACTGTTAACATTACTATATCTAGTTTAATTGTCACATGTTAGAACCCTGCATAAGAAAACCAAATAAGATCAAACGATTTTGATTTCCAAAATTGCATATCCTTAAATAAATTTAAACATTAAGATACTTGTGGATGTCTTTTTTAAGAAGGCTGTACTTGCATTTTGTTTAGGTTAGACCAAGAAATTATTTTTACGTATTTAAACAAATATTCAACATAGAAAATGATATAATACTTAAAAGGATACTATGTTGTACTGTTACACCACTGTCCAGGTTAGGGGGAGGATTGAACCCGCTAACATGTTTAACCCCGACACATTTTGAATGTGCCTGTCCAAAGTTAGGAGCCTGAAATTCAGTGGTTGTAGTTTGTTGGTATACATCATTTTTGTTTTTTGTTCATTATTTTATACATAAATTAGGCCGTTAGTTTTCTCATTTGAATTGTTTTACATTTGTCATTTCTGGGCCTTTTATAGCTGACTATGCGGTATGTACTTTGCTCATTGTTGAAGGCTGTATGATGACCTATAGATGTTAATTTCTGTGTCATTTGGTCTTTCGTGGAGAGTTGACAATCATTCCACATCTTCTTATTTTTATATAAATAGACTTTTCTATTAGATCTTTTCCCTTTCAGAAAATTGATCCAGATGACCCTGTATCTAACCTGCTTGAAGGTATGCAAATAGAGAAAAATGGACATCCTCATCGTGTAAGTTATTATGCAGTTATAAAAGATAATATTATCATTGTATATATTCTAACTAATTTGATTCATTTAAAAAGAGTCACAGGTTCAACTATATTTTCAAAGGTTGACTGAATACAGAAGATGTAAAACATGTAAAAGTGATATTGCACAGGTATTTTTTTAGTAAAGTGATATTGCACTGTTATTTCAAGAATAACTAACACAATCAAAACAACTAATCAAATGAATAGGTTCTCTATTTCTGGCTTATTGGCAATAATAATATAACAATTGTAGCCAATGCATGAGGTTGATACAAGGATATATCTACCTAAAGTAATTTATCGATCTCTGACTTTGTCTTTAATCAATATATTACTTTCCGGTAGATATTTCCTCATATCGTCTTTATCCAAAGGCTATAATTGTATAACAAGATTGGGTGTTCCATAGTACCATAGTAACAATATAGAATAATAAAGGCACAAGTTGAATATTGATTTTATTCTATTTTATGATTATTTCTTTGATTTGTATGCCCACGCCCTCAGCGGAGGTGGCATTACGTGTTATCCTTGTCCGTCAATACATCCTTCTATCGGTATGTCTGTTGTAAGGTTACTGTCTCATTGTTATATACTATTAATCTCTTTGTATTCATGTTTGAAAAAAAAAGATTCAATATCTGATTAACCAATCCTACGAAGTCTCAAGTTTCCAACCAGAAAAACTGCATTTTTTGCACAAATTCGAAATCTATTCATACACCACTAACACCACTGTCCCAGGTTAGGGGGAGGGTTGAGTGCTCACAGACATGTTGTATTGACCCTGCCACATTCTTCATGTGCCTGGCCTAAGTCAGGAGCTTGTAGTTCAGTTATTGTCATTGGTTCATGTCTGTCATAATTATTTTTTCGTAAAATGTTTTGTTATAAATTAGGGTGTTAGTTTTTTCAATTGAATTGTTTCACATTTTTCACGTCAGTGCCTTTTATAGCCGACTATACGGTATGGGATTTTTCATTATTGAAGGCTCATTGTTAATTGCTTACATCCACTTCATTTGAACTTGGTGGATAGTTGTCTCATAGGCAAACATACAACATCAGTCTCCTTATTTCTATATAAGAATATCTTATTTAACTGTTGATTAACCAACATGATCTATTAATTTCAATTTAACATAAATTTTGTAAAACAATCCCAATTAGGGATGTAAGCATACAAATTCAATGTAACATCAAAGTGAGAAACCAGAAGATGGAAACAAAAAAAAAGATTTAAAAAAAAAGCCCGGTAAATTGATATTTTTATTATAAAATATAAAGAATTTGAAGTTTTTACTGTTTTGATATTATTCAATTATTGACTTTTGACGAGGTTGATACAATGATTTATCAACCCCAGAGAAATGATATTAACCGAGGCTAAAGGCCAAGGATGAATGTCATATCTCTGGGGTTGATAAATCATTGTATTAACTGAAATCAAAGTCGACAATTGCTTTATTATATGACTTTTTATCCTTCTCCAGTTTTCTAATACAAATGTATTTGCTCAAGATACTTTTAAAACTGCTTCCTGTTTTTATACCTTATATATCATCTGCTTTTGCAGTTGCTTATTTTCATAAGTTGAAATATTCAATAAAATTTACTAGAAGCAGAAATTTACATGACGTCATTAACCTACGTCATTGACGTTGCCTTGAAATGTCTATATATAGGTACACAGGCACGGTTCCAAATCTTTATTAACCTCTCGCGATTTTTGCTGCGGTGAATACAATGTTTTATCAAAGAGGATTTCCGTTGCTTTTAGTCGATGAGAAAACAGAAACTTTATAGTCATATAATTAGACTTCTTGTTGACGGATTCAGAAATCTTTTTAGTTTATCAAAGTTTATTTATGTTATTAAAATTCGATTCTATAGTATTAAAATATTGAAAAATGTTCATGAATGTTCCAAGTTTTTTATCACAAGACAGAAAGAAGCGACATTCCTCATCAATTTCATTTTCACATCTGATGCACAATATTAATGTAAACCTTATAAAAAGACTATAGAAAATTCTTCAGAAGATACTGAAAATCGTAAAAAGGAAAGATAACCTGATTAAATGTAATTATAATTGACAGGTTCAAGGACTTCACCCAGAAAAAAGTGCTAAGACGTACGGTGATTCCCACGACTCACACAGACTTACACAAGAACAATTAGCACAACTTGAATTAAAGAATACAGTGAGTAGATATTACAACATTAATGGCAAACCAATGTTAGAAATATATTTGTCGTTCCTCATACAAAAAATCTGACGAGTGAAAAGTCTCTCAATAGAATTTCAACATATTTTTATTGTCAGCTTGACTTTCATTTTTCAGACTTACAATTAAGTTTTCATAGTCTAGTACAAAGACACCAGATTCTGAGGAATTTTCCTGGTTTTTTTCCCTTCACTCTAGAGAAGTCTAGTATAACAATAAACCAATAAATTTTGGTGAGCGACTTATTCTTTCGTGACTTTCGCTAGCAGACATGGGGTCAATTACTTTTGAAAGTAATTAATTACATTCAATTACAATTACAAAATCTTCAATTGAATTACACATTACATTTGACATTTTTTACCAATGTAATTAATTACTTTCCAATTACTTGGCAAATGTAATTAATTACTTCAATTACTTTTAAAAGGAAAATTTAGATAAAATATTGAAAACATTTATTCTATGATATGTGCATAAGTATCATACATTGCTTTATAGAAAAAAACAAATGAGATCTACGGCGACTATTTTCAAATTCAGCCAGTATCAAATAAGAGTATGTGTTAGATTTCTGGTGTGTTACGGGAATAAAGAAATAAAAACATACATAAATCTGAAGTGCACATAATATTTTGTCTATCAGGAATCGTTAGGACTAGAGGCCTGGTTTAGTTTAATGCTTAAAATGATAAAAAGCCTTTTCAATAATTTGAAAATATTAAATTTTGATGTAATCACCTCTTGAAACTTTATATTTTAATGTATTTCATTGAAAATGATATAAAAGGAGAGCCCTTATTTTAATATTTTGAAATGATTTTTTATTTTGATCAAAACTTATTAAAATTATTTTTCCTACAGAAATTATTTCGAAAGCCTGCCTTTTTAAAAAATAAGAAATAACATTCACCTGTACTCTACCGGTACACAATCGGCGCAAATAAAATAAAAAATCGACGCAAATTAAATGCAAATCGGCGCAAATGAAATGCAAATTGGCGCAAATGCAAAACGTCGGTTTAACATGCAAACATAGTCATAACTGTTGTAAAAACAGTCAGTATAAACTTTATAATAAAACAAATATCCAGAGGTTATATTTATTGATTGACTACTGTATGTCCTTTGAAACTGATTATGTTAAATCAATGTCTAACAATTTTATCTGAATATACATACAGGTAACAAGCTAATTAAGGTATAAGACAGTGACTTACTAATGGTTTCTTTTAAAAACAAATTATGGCATGTTTGTACAATCCTTTTTTTTTTTCTTTTTTTTTCATTATAAAACAAAATAATGAATCTCCCATGGTTGTGTAATTACAGAGAGTATACTGTGTAGGCTTTGCTTTGTTAGCTAGCTAAATTTACTAAGGTCATGGCTTTTCATAATTTTTTGAGAAAACACAAGATTCAATCTTTCTGATCCAAAATTTAAATGTAATTGAGTTGTAAATGAAAAGTAATTAATTACTTTCAATTACTTGTAATTAAAAACATGTTCAATTACACATTACATTCAATTACTTGAGAAATTGTAATTAATTACAATCAATTACAATTACATATTTCAATTACCCCATGTCTGTTCGCTAGTAGAAAATAACACAAATATAAATTGTCACGAATGTATCAAACTTGGATATTTTCTTAAAGAAATACATCAAATGGGTTATATAGTAACCACAAAAATAAATTGGCACAAAGCTGAACATGATATAAAAGGACTGTAATGGCCTTTACAGTCAGGAGTCAAATAGTCATTTTTGGCTACCGTTAGTGTCAAGTTGGTTAAAATTTTATCATGATTTTTCAAAACATCCGTATCGTGATTTGTCAAAGGTCTCAAATAATTATCCTATACCGTTATGTTTGGAAAGAATTTAACATAATTCCTCTAAATCAGTCGATTTGTTTTACTGTGATAAAGAAAGTGTATATTTTATTGTCATGCACCAAAAATTACCGTTAACGTCATTTGGTAAGATATTTTACTATTATTCGTCATGAAGGTACCCCCATGAAGACCCTCAAATAAAGAACTTGTGACGATATATTTGTTTATAGTACATTCTGTATTTTATCCAGGGTGATTCAAGCGACAGAAAGAGAAATTTTGTCTCTTATACTCAATGGCTTTGGAAAGATGGGATTGTTCCTTATAATATACATAACATGTGTAAGTACTGGACTCTAATAAATGTAAATATTGTCAAACATAGTTGATCATTTGATGAATTTAGGACAGTTTTGAATTGTATTGTCATTCATTTTTAGCTCACCTGGCCCACAGGGCCAAGTGAGCTTTTCTCATCACTTGGCGTCCGTCGTTACATCGTCCTCGTCCGTCGTTCCATCGTCATCGTCCATCCTTCCATCGTCGTCTGTTAACTTTTACAAAAGTCGTCTCTGAAACTACTTGGCTAAATTTAACCAAACTTGACCACAATCATCATTGGGGTATCTAGCTTAAAATCTCCCGAGGACCCCGCCTGCCAACCAAGATGGCCGACATGGCTAAAAATAGAATATAGGGGTAAAATGCAAGTTTTGTCTATTATTTTGAAAACCGTTATAAATAGAGAAAATCTGACGAGAGCAAAAAAGTTCAGAATTTTGAGCTCCACCACTTGTCCATATATGTCAAAACTGTCAGCCGTCCTTATAGGAGATATTGCCCTTAAATGACAAATTTTACCAATTTTTTTCCTTTTTGCCTATCATCTTGAAAATTATAATAGATAGAGGGAATCTTCATTAGCAAAAATGATCAGCAAGACAAGTTCTACAAATAAATTTACATGATAGAAATCGTTAGTTGGCTTTTTATAAGAGTTATTGCCCTTTGGTTACGACTTTTACCATTTTTTTGCGCGTTTGCCTTATATGTCAAAATTATTATAGATAGAAAGAAACTTAAAAAGCAAAAATAGATGAGCAAGACAAGATCTACTATTTAGACCATATGGAGGAAATCGCCCAACGACTCCTTGTTGGGGTTATTGCACTTAAATGACGAATTTTATAATTTTTTCAGTTTGCCTTTTATCTTGAAAACTATAAAAGATAGAGCGAAACTTTAAAATGCAAAAATGATCAGCAAGACAAGTTCTACAAGTAAGTTTACATGGTCGAAATCTTAATAAAAGACGTGTCCATTACCAATCCAAGCAAAATTTTACAAATATTTCGATAAAGCGCGCCATGTTATTAATTATATGTCATAGATATTAAATATTATTTTCTATTTTGCTATAATCTTTTGATTGACTATATGTCAGTTTCTTTCTCAATCAAGTGTTTCGGATCTTAAGGTAGATTCATGGTATACCGCCATCTTGGATTGTACTATTGCAGTACACTATCAGTCTAGTTATTTGCCCAAATCTGCACATTTGTAGACAGATGTGCAATTTTATTGATTAGACAGTTTATATATATGAAGAAAACTTGCTGATTTATTGCATTATCCAAAATATTTAAACAAATACCAAACATTTGTGTTTTAGAATAAATTTTTTCAACTTAGCAATTCAAGGGGAGATAACTCTATTAGTAAAAATTTTATACTGGACTGATAGGGAAGTTTTTAATTTTTACTTGTAGCAAGAAAACAAGTTCGGTGACACCATCTTTTCTTTTTATTTTCTTAAAAAATATTATAAAACCTATCTTCTCACAATTTATTTCAAAATTCTATCTCATAGATTTCTTTTTAAGCACAAAAATGTGTTTTTTCATGATCATTCTAACCAAATTTAGGCAATTTTCAACGACTCATAGCTTAAAAAATAGCACGGTGACCCATCATTTTTATTATATTTTTGAAAAGAGCATAGTAAAATCTTCATTTTGGCAAAGTATAAGAAAATTCTATCTTGGGAAACATATACCTATGATCTACCTTAATTTAGGTCCAAACTGTCGACCAAGGCCGTTCATCCTCATCAGGTGATGTAGCCTTATAATTTTGTGTAAGCAGATGTAACTAATTAAGGAGGAGCACGACACCTAGTGGATTTGTGTTTATGATTCAGTAGCATCGTATAATTTGTTACACAACAAATACTTTACATCTTTGCAGTTGTCAAAAATTCCTTTATATGTTTATGTTTTCGATATGCAATAATAGGGGGTTTAGGAAATAACCTGTTGGCATTTGGGATATTTTTTGGATTAAGTGCCATTTTTTTTCTAATGCATTTACCTAAATGTGTGAATATTGGATTAAATCTAGTAGCAAATAGAAATGGTGGTGATTGTCTTTTGTTCTTATTTTTTATAACATAATGTGTTAGATCTTTTTTTTTTGTTTTGCTTTCGACGTTAGTATGTCTATTTCTTTTTCTGTGTAACCTCTTTGCAAGAGCTTACGTTTGAAGTGTTCAATTTGTTTTGTCTGGTCATTTTGATTATTTGTTGTTCTAATAATTCGTTGAATTTCTCCAATAATGAATCCGTTGAATACCGAAGTTGGATGAGCCGACGATCTTTCTAAGTATTGAAAGTTATCAGTCGGTTAACGATATAATTAAACATCCAGTATATGATCTGTTTCAAATCGTTTCCCCTTAAATACTGATACATCTAAGAAAATTAACATGTCGAAATCTCGAAGTAAATTTGAGAAGCGAATAAATATTATTTGCGATCTAAAAAATATCTTGTATGAATTTTTCATCCGAATTGAATAAAATTAAACCATCGTCCCTGTAAATTAACATCACTGTTATATTGTCCGAATGTTGAAATTGTTTTAGTATATCTGATATTATTTCAAACATTCTCAAATCTGACAAGGACGGAGACATTCTGGCTCCCATTGCTAATCCGACTGATTGAGCAAATATTTGTTTGTTTAATTCGAATTCTTTGTTTTCTAACACTGTTTTTACAAGTGAGAGAAATCGTTCTTTTGGAGGAAGAGGAATATCAAATTTACAATTTATTTCTTTATGATCCATGTTGCTGTACATGCTAGTAATGTGACTCCGAAAAACACGGAAATCGGAAAAAAACGATCTCGAATCGATCCGTTTAAATGGTACTGTAAGTCAAAACAACTGAAAAGCTGCTGGTATGTTTAAGCACAATCAGCTTAATAATACATTTCGTGAGGCTTTTATATTTTCAAGTTTATCTATGAATGCTGTACTATCTTGTGTGTAAGTCAAAAATTTAGTAACTACTGGTTGTATGAAATAGTCAATATAATGTCATATTTTTTCGATAGGATTGTTACAAAGTGAAACGATGGGTCGACCAGGAGTATTTATATTATTTACATGTTCAGAATTTTGTATTGTTCGCTGATTTTGTTGGTTTTTGGTAGAAAATACATTACCTAATCTATCAGTTTTGCCACTATTTAGATAATTGAATGTTGTCTCATCTATATGTGCCTCTCTATGTGCATCGCTCAGGTAATTGTAATGTACTGTGTTATTTAGATGGTTTGTACCCATTTGGATATAAATATCTTTGTCAATTACTACTGGTGCTGAATTTTTGTCAGCATTTTTTATCACATTTTTTTCTATTTTTGTATATAGTTTTTAATGCAAGTCTCTCATTTCTAGTGAGATTATCATGAATTGTTTGCATTTCTTTTTTTTCTAATTCCAATCTGGTCTAGAATAAATACTGCTCAATTGCATGACTGGCCCAACTAGGAACAAATCCCGTTTTAACACGGAAGGGGTGCAATTTAAATTCACCAGTTCCATTATCAAACTGATATCTACATCTCATTTTGCAACATAATTCATTAAAGTCATGTAATAGGTGTCTCTCTGCATATCTCCGTGACGGAGTTGCTATATAAGCCCTTCGATAGCAATAATATTTCGGAATCTGTTAACTTTTCATTTGTCATATTTTTATCATAACCTAACGCTTTCACAATTTTTTATTTATATTGCCTTTGTTTACGAATGTGTTTGTTTCTATTGTACGTTTTGTGATTTTTCTTTGTTAATTTTTGTTTTTCTAAAATTTGTCCTTCTGTTTCAAACTTCTATTCCTTTTGCCCATTTTTATTTTGAATATACTGTTGAGTACAAATATGTGTGGTTTAAATAAAAGCACAAATTTATATGTTCAAAACATGAATAAATTTCTCAGAGGCTTTTTTTTTATTGCAGCTACAAGTTCTGTAACAGTTATTAACAAAGCTATTAAACAGTTCCATGACTACACATGTGTGAAATGGATAACAACTACTGATCCCCTGTTTAACAAATCAACACTTGGACACCAGAATGTCGTAACATTTATAAATGAAAAGTATGAAATAAAATATTTAATAATATTGAGCTGGAAATATGTTTCATTGAATGTTGTAAAAGAAGATGTGGTATGATTGCCAATGAGACAACTCTCAACTAGAAACCAAATGATGTAGAAGGGTAGCAACAATAGGTCACCATACGGCCTTCAATAATGAGCAATACCCATACCGCATAGCAAGCTATTAAAGGCCCATAAATGGCAAATGTAAAACAATTTAAGACAAGAAAAGTAACGGCCCGATTTATGTACAAAACAATAAAAGAAAAACAAATATGATTTACAGCAACTAACAACAACAAAACTCCTTTAGAAAAGGTAAACTTGATTATTGTTAAATGATTTTCCTTCTGGTGTAGTTGTATTTGTTGGTTTAAACATTTAGACTAATACTGTCAGCATGATTGAATTTGTATTTGTTAAGATAAAACTCCGTTGAAAAATTCTCCAGTTAGGATATATTATTGAACTGAACGATACTTACCTTAACTTGAGCTCTATTCTCTTTTCGCACAGAAGAGTTTTTCCATGTATAATCCTTACAAAATCTGACAATATTTTACAACTAGTAGCTTGAGAAAAAAGCTGTGTGACTCATACTTTTTATTATATTTTTGAAAAAAAGCATGAGGTCACCTACATTTCGATAACATATTAAAACATTTTATGTTTTTTTTTATTTAAACCACCCATATACATTGTACATCTAACTGTTTCTCGACTTCTCTGATTTTAAGCCCAAACTATAGTATTTTTTATGAGGACTTCTTCAACATACTCTTTTTTTTACCAACGTATAGGATGTAATTATGAACTTATTTGTAGATAAATTATTTTAGAATAATGATAATGATTGTTACATAATCTGCTAAGAAGTGTATACTTAGAAAGCTCTGAGCATGCCAGTAAAACAATGTGTACGAAAATGGAAGCTTTCTTTTGAATAAAAAATATTTTTCAACTTGAGACCAAAAAAAAAAAAAAAAAAAAATTATAAAGAAAAATACCAATATCGACCTGCTGACTCTATCAATGGTAAAAGCCCTCTTTCAAGACATATTGTCTTCGTGCTCTGACAGGTAAAACCCTCTTTTAACACATATTGTCTTTGTGCTCTGACCAGTTAAAGCCCTATTTAACACGTATTGTCTTTGTGACTGACAGATTAAATCCCTATTCAACATATATTATATTTGTGCCCTGACAGGTTAAAGCCCTCTTTCAACACGTTTTGTCTTTGTGCTCTGACAGGTAAAAGCCCTCTTCAACACGTATTGTCTTTGTGCTCTGACAGGTAAAAGCCCTCTTCAACACATATTGTCTTTGTGCTCTTACAGATAAAAGCCCTCTTCAACAAATATTGTCTTTGTGCTCTGACAGGTACAAGAGAGGCGAAAGATACCAGAGGGACATTCAAATTCATTAGTATAAAACAAACTGACAATGCCAAGGCAAAAAACAAAAAAAGGCAAAGAAGACAAACAACAGTACACAAAACACAACATTGAAAACTAAAGACTGAGCAAGTTATATTTGTATTATACACATATTGAGTAGTGCATTTTTAGGGCTTGCTGTTCCTAGGTAATATTTGTATTTGGTTGGCAATTTGTATTATACACATATTGAATAGTGTTTTATTGCATTTTTAGTGGATGTTGGTCCTATGTTGGCAATGTTAATCCTCAACGTAACAATACACAGCCCCTTAGCTTATCCGAACCAGGTTGTGTTAGCGTAAGTATGTTGTATGTTTCAGGGGCAGGTCCAAGTTTTTATAAAGTGGGCTGTAATTCCATAAAAGTTAATATCTACCATGTTTTTGGACTGTTAATGCCAAAAATGCCTTTTGCCTGAACGCGAGACATAGAGATTGCTTCTCCGACGGGAATTTGTTTTTTTTAATACTAAACTATGGGTCTAAAGGGAATTACTTTAGTAGTTTTTTTTTATGTACAACTATACTATGGGTCTAAAGGGAATTTGTTTTTTGTGTACAACTAAACTTTGGGTCTAAAGGGAATTTGTTTCTTGTTTACAACTTACCCAAGTCAAAGTCGAAGGCAGTTTCTGACGTTTAGCAGTTGTTTACCTTCTAAAATTAACCAGTTACTTCTTATACAAAAATTAGCAGTTTTCCTAAACCTTCACAGTTATTCAAGCAGTTCATAGCAGTTCCTTAGCTGTTTTAGGCAGTTCTTAAGCATTTTTTTTATAAATTATTTAAATAAGGTGCTAAGAACTGCTTTAAGTTTATGAATATTCATATTTAACTGCTTCAGGTTAATAAGAATATTCATATACAACTGGGATATAACTGCTAAGGAAATGCTAATATGGTCATGATCTTAAGCATCATTCATACAGGTACTGCTAGTAGCTGTTGAAAAAGTTACATAATAACATGCAATAAATATCAAAAACAATAATATCCTTCAAACAAATTTATCATTAAACAATCCTGATGTTATCCAACTTCATGGTTAATATGTATAGCTTTTCAGTATTATAAACAAATTTTGATGTCAGAAATACACTGTACAAGGTCAACATGTAATTTCAGTTTCAAGTCATCTAGCTTAAATAAGGGAAATGGAAATCAAGATTCATGGAATCTTATATACTTAAAATAAATTATTTGTTATATAACTTGATTAGTAAGAAGACTCTGAAATACTAACATGATTAAGTATATTTGTAAGCTGAGTCAATTTCATTCTGATATAATCTGTATGAAATACATGACACATACACCAGCTGGACTGTCACAATGAGGAGCAAAAATAATAATTAAAGCTAGCTATATATACTTGTCATTATTGTTTTGTTATGTTGAATAAAACAATTAAAGCACAATTTTCACAAAATCATAGTAGAATCCAATTCATTAACTTACCAGAATTAATTAAGATGTAATCCAAAATTCACACAAACAACCACAATTAACGTGATTATTCTTCCAAAATGTCCATTGATGTTAGTCAGAAGTACCCATCTTCACTATTCAATGTGACAAGAAATTATTTTCCAAATATATTATATCCAGTGATTCATATTGTTCGATCATCTTTTCTTGTTGTCTTTCTTTTTATTCCAAATTCAAATTTTGTTAAATTGCAATATATTGGGATGTTTAAGGAGTTGTTTGATTCTGTTGAAGTGTTCCCTCGATGACTACTAGCAATTCTTCTAATCTTTAAAATGTGACATATATATATATATACAGTAAAAAATATCCATTTTTGTTTAAATAAGATATTTTTATCAAAAGTTATAGTAATTACAGAACAATGTATTAAAATAGGTGTTCTCCTTCATGTGTCCTCTATTTCTGTGTAGACAGTATTTCCTGTCCACCAAACAGAGGTCAATTGTAAACAGATGCACATTTCTACAACACCAGTGTTATCTAAATTACAATAATTCTGTTTGATGCAACTGCCAAGAAATATTGCAAATCAAACTGCTACCGGTATATAAAAATAACTACTAAGCTTAGCTCGAAGACAATTATAACCTTCATCAATCTAGTAGCTTTATAATAGGTGAAATGAAAATAAAGACAACTGTTAATAAATAACTGCTCTTGAGAAAACTGCTAAGGAAATTAAAACTGCTTTGATATATTCAAACTGCTTGAATTAACATTTATCATCTACTACAATGTAGTAAGCAGTTATTTTAAACTGCCTAAATCAAAACAGCTTCGTACTGCTCCAAAACTGCTAAAAATCCAAGAAACTGCTATAAAACTGCCAATGAACTGCTTAAATAGGCAGTTCACTTTGACTTGGGAAAGTATTGGTGGAAGGGGATTTTTTTTTGTTGTTGACAAATTAGCTATGGGTCTAACGGGAATATGTTTCTTGTTTACAACTAAACTATGGGTCTAAAGGGAATTTGTTTCTTGTTTACAACTAAACTATGGGTCTAACGGGAATTTGTTTCTTGTTTACAACTAAACTATGGGTCTTAAGGGATTTTTTTCTTGTTTACAACTAAACTATGGTCTAAAGGGATTTTTTTTTCTTATTTGAAACAAAATCAAGGCCATATTCAAAAACTGTCTTTCTTTGCAGTTAAGCACTACTGTACATGAAATGTTACATGCATTGGGAGGACATCACGAACAATCTCGAACTGACCGTGATAATTACGTCAGTATTGAATGGCAAAACGTAAATCAAGGACAGGGCAATTATAACATGAAGAAGTTGGACACTCAAGACAATAACCCATATGATGCAGAATCTTCAATGCAGTACAGTTTGTATGTGAGTATTTTTGTCATAAAGAGAACATTGTTACGAATAATTATCTTCTACCTCATTTGGTCTCTGGTGCAGAGTTCTTTTCAATGGCAGTCATACCACATCATCTTATTTTAACCTGTGTTGCCAAAGGCCAAAGCAGGTTTAGTAACTGCTCTACTCGGTCCATCTGTCTGTCCATCCGAAAGAACTTGGGTAGGAAACTTTCGTCAAAGTTTTTTTTTAATTCTATTAAAGAGAATGATTTTATATTTAGTGTGCAGCTTGATAATGTGGAGTTGTAGTGAGTAAGCAGTTTTTACATGCGCTGTGCAGCTACTTCCTTTTTGTCAATAGTTTGAAATTATACAACACTCATTGTACAAGGAAAATTATCACCAATGTTTTCTTGCAGTCAATGTAAGGGAATGATCAGTTATGCTCCAGTATACATGCAACCTCAATCAATTACATGCAGCCACACAGGTCCAGATCCCGTATTGGTCATGTTTAATAAATATTGACTAGAGTGGTGATGCATCAATGATTGGCACCAATTTACGTTAAACATACATTTAGTACAGTTTGTTTGTGAGTATTCTCTATTGTCAAAAAGGGAAAATTTGTTATGTAAATGTTGAGTAGAGTGGTAATGATTTACTCTTTTTAAAAAAAAATATATATTAGTAATTTCCTCCCTGTCTAAAGTTGACTCTGCAAAGAAATACCTGATGTTGTTCCGTGCATCCAGTCTTGTAAGCACTCTCACATGTACAATTCCAGATTTTTATATAAGCAATGTCCTGAACAAGTTTGAAAATTAGCACAGATCTACTTTTTTTTTTAAAGAAATGACTTCTCACTAAATTGTAAAGAGTGGTGACCCTTATTCAATATCAAACTTACTTCCTGTTTTGTATTTTTTTCAAAAAGTATCAGATTTACAAACTGTTTTGTATTTTGCAGTCTTTTTCCACAAGTATAAGATTTACTTACTGTTTTGTATTTTGCAGGCCTTTTCCACAAGTATCAGATTTACTCACTGTTTTGTATTTTTCCACAAGTATCAGATTTACTTACTGTTTTGTATTTTTTTCCACAAGTATCAGATTTGCTTACTGTTTTGTTTTTTTTTCCACAAGTATCAGATCTACTTACTGTTTTGTATTTTTTTTTCCACAAGTATCAGATTTACTTCCTGTTTTGTATTTTTTCTACAAGTATCAGATTAACTTCCTGTTCTGTATTTTATAGGCCTTTTTCACAAGAATCAGATTAACTTACTGTTTTGTATTGTGCAGGCCTTTTCCACAAGTATCAGATTAACTTCCTGTTTTGTATTTTGCAGGCCTTTTCCACAAGTATCAGATTTACTTATTGTTTTGTATTTTGCAGGCCTTTTCCACAAATGGCCAGAAAACAATCAACTTTAAAGATCGAAGATTAGAGTTTTTGGCTGATTCAGCTGATGGTCTAGAATTCTATGATATACAAGATGTTACTGATGCATATAAATGTACAGGTAAGTAGATATACAAGATGTTAATGATGCATATAAATGTACAGGTAAACAGATATACAAGATGTTACTTATGCATATAAATGTACATGTAAGTAGATATACAAGATGTTACTGATGCATATAAATGTACAGGTAAATAGATATACAAGATGTTAATGATGCATATAAATGTACAGGTAAGTAGATATACAAGATGTTAATGATGCATATAAATGTACAGGTAAATAGATATACAAGATGTTACTGGTGCATATAAATGTACAGGTAAGTAGATATACACGATGTTAAATATGCATATAAATGTACAGGTAAGTAGATATACAAGATGTTACTGATGCATATAAATGTACAGGTAAATAGATATACAAGATATTACTGGTGCATATAAATATACAGGTAAGTAGATATACACGATGTTAAATATGCATATAAATGTACAGGTAAGTAGATATACAAGATGTTACTGATGCATATAAATGTACAGGTAAATAGATATACAAGATGTTACTTATGCATATAAATGTACATGTAAGTAGATAAACAAGATGTTAATGATGCATATAAATGTACAGGTAAACAGATAAACAAGATGTTAATGATGCATATAATTGTACAGGTAAACAGATATACAAGATGTTAATGATGCATATAAATGTACAAGTAAGTAGATTTACAAGATGTTACTGATGCATATAAATGTACAGGTAAATAGATATACAAGATGTTACTTATGCATATAAATGTACATGTAAGTAGATAAACAAGATGTTAATGATGCATATGAATGTACAGGTAAGTAGATATACAAGATGTTACTCATGCATATAAATGTACAAGTAAGTAGATTTACAAGATGTTACTTATGCATATAAATGTACAGGTAAGTAGATAAACAAGATGTTAATGATGCATATGAATGTACAGGTAAGTAGATATACAAGATGTTACTCATGCATATAAATGTACAAGTAAGTAGATTTACAAGATGTTACTGGTGCATATAAATGTACAGGTAAGTAGATATACAAAATGTTACTGATGCATATAAATGTTCAGGTAAGTAGATATACTAAATGTTACTGATGCATATAAATGTACATGTAAGTAAATATACAAGATGTTACTGATGCATATAACATATATAAATGTACAAGTGGGTAGATAAACAAGATGTTACTGATGCATATAAATGTACAGGTAAATAGATATACAAGATGTTACTGATGCATATAAATGTACAGGTAAGTAGATATACACGATGTTAAATATGCATATAAATGTACAGGTAAGTAGATATACAAGATGTTAATGATGCATATAAATGTACAGGTAAGTAGAATTTAAAATGTTCTGTTTGTTCCAATCTTTAAGTATGAAGAAAGGAAGATGTGGGATAAATGTCAACGAGACAGCAACCCAATGACAAATATAACCAAAAGACATCTTGTCAGAGGTCAACATACATACTTCAGCGATAGAGGGTTTGTATTCAAAATGTCAAGCTCTGGATAGTTCTGAGTCTATAACAAGCAGATATCATTATATTGAAAGTCCAAGCATTAAAACTAAAGTTCAGATTTCCCCATCAAATTTTCTGTGGCCATAGCCTATAAGTGTATTTGATGGTGTTTTTACTGACCATGCTAGACCCTCGTGGGTAGTCAAGGTCGTTAAACACCCCCTAGTAGAAGCGTTTATATCTTAGCATCAGCTGTTTTATTGTTACAGATAATGTCATTATTACCACAAGAACACATGAAATATTTGCAACTGAATGATCAGCAAAATGTTTAGTATGAAATCGATTTTGTACCTGGAAATCACTTTCTTGAATTCAAAGTTTTTTTTGGTATTTTTGTTCTTGGCTGAAATCACCTTGTTTCAACAAATCTGTAGTTTCTCAGAACCGTTAAGAACAGAGCATCATGTCTGAAGAAGTTAACAGCTGAAACTTATATCTTTAGCCATGGTTTCTAAATGTTCAAAAAAGTCCAACTAGTGACGTTCAGATTTTTTTAATATATTTTTTTCATAATTATATATTTAGACCACTGCAGAACTACACCTAACTGTCAGAATGGAGGCTTTGTTAACTTTCAGTGTACATGTACTTGCCCAGATGTGCTGACTGGTGCCACCTGTGAACAGACTGTCTCTAATAATCGTAAGTATCTGGTTATATCCCCTGTTTAATGTTAATTTTTGACAAATGTGTATTTAAAACAAAGTATTGTCCTTGTGAAATATTATTCCCCAAGACAATATTTCATGACTTTGTATCATGAAATTTTGTCTCTATCTATAAAATAATGTCCAGGAAAGGACATATTTCCATATGAAAATTGTCCATATACAGACAATATCTCATAGATGAAATTTTGTATTTTAAAAGGGAGATAATCCAAGATTATATATTGTGTATATTGAGATTCATGGTGGATTGTCATCAAATTTTGTCTCATGAAGGACATCCTATAAACATTTAATATTTTTGATAATGATATCATTAAAGTGTTTTAATTGAATTCTGTTTGATAATAACAAACTAACCTGCAGAATTAATTTATGCAGCAATTTTGAAATCCACAGTATATTTAGGGAAATTACTTTTTATGTACATGAGGCAGGAAATATAAGTTCCATAATTTTGTGGCTTAAATGTCAAACAAAATATGTTAGAGAAAAGTGAACACGTTGTATAAATTCTCGTTGATTGAACTTGTTTGTTATTTGATTTCGTGGTTTTGTTTAAATAAACATATATTCATATAGAACATTTGTATTCATTGAACATTAAGATTTGTTATTTCCCTGTGCCAACGAAATCCATGAAAATTGATAAACAACGTATAATAATGTATCCACAGTATTAACGGGAGAAATCAGTTTGAGCCACTAGTTTTCAAAAATACCTTGTATCATTTGCGCCAAAAATTAAATATATGACTGTGTTAAATTATTTTGATAAAAAGCAATGAACTGGCATTTGTCTTGTTGTTGTATGCATAAAGTATTCACGAACAGGTCTGTGTGTACATTGTGTAATAATATTTCTTTATCTTGTATAATGATCATGTCTACTTCCCACTGAATCATGCATTACTTCTCTTAAATACTCTGGCTTTTGTTTTTGTCTCGCATGCGACAAAAGTCGCAGAAAGCGAGACATAGGAATTGCCTTTCCGGCGATGACGACGATGATGGCTTTGGATCAGTTTGTTGAGTTTTCTGCTTCAGTTAGATTGATAGGAACTACTTGTGATAGATCATTCATTGATATTTTGTATGAAGTCACATTACTTTCAATACATATCAGTTTGACGACTATTTTAAGACCCTGCCCTCTAGGACATGGTCCAGTGACTTTGATTTAATTAGCAATTTTCTATGTTATTTTGTCTGCTTAAGTTAGTTTGACAGGAACTGCTTGTGATAGATAAATGATATTTTGTATGAAGTCGCATTACTATCAGTACATATCAGTTTGACAACTATTTTGAGACCCTGCCCCCTTGGACATGATCAATGATTAGTTCGTATCAAGTTAACGACTTCGATGTCCTGCCCCTTAGTCATGGTCCAGTGACTTTTAATTAATTAGCAAGTTTCAATGTTAAGTTTATCTGTTAAACTGATATAGATAGGACTTACAATAAACAACGACATTTTCTATAGAGTTACATTACTGTCTGTACATCTCAGTTTGACGACCATTTTCAGGCCCTGCCTACTAGATCATGGTCCAGTGACTGAATTAATAAGTAATGTTGCTGTCCATCAGATTGACTTTTTCTGAATTTTATGCCGATAGGTGTGACATATATCTGTGTCAACAGTTTATTTGAAATTTAATGAAAAATATTTATTAATCTATGGCTGCATTGCCTATCAGGTAATTTTTGTGCCCAACCTACGATAGAAGAGAGGCATTATGTTTTTCGGTCTGTGCGTCCGTTCGTTTGTCCGTCCGTCCGTCCGTTCGTCCGCCTGTCCTGCTTCAGGTTAAAGTTTTTGGTCAAGATAGTTATTAATGAAGTTGAAGTCCAATCAACTTGAAACTTAGTACACATGTTCCCTATGATATGATCTTTCTAATTTTAATGCTAAATTAGAGTTTTGACCCAAATTTCACGGTCCACTGAACATAGAAAATGATAGTGCGATTAGGGCATCCGTGTACTATGGACACATTTTTGTTCCAATTGAGCTTCGATACATGATTATTTGTTGTTGAATTAGCATTGTGCAGTTTAATGTAAGAAGAGACTTGAAAATTTACGATATTGTCCCAAATTACAAACATACTGCGATGGATGCGATGAAAAAAAAAGTTAAATGCATTGTTAATGAAATGCCTCTGGTCCATTATTAGTTATTATAATTATAAGTTATTTTTTTTATAGCAACAGGTAAAGTGGCGCAACAGAATTCTGTAAAATGGTACAATTGATACCTTTGAAAAATAATATTTGGCGCAAATGATAAACCTTGAAAATAGCAGTTGACCCAAAAGGACTGCAGTGGTATAAGTTGCCGCAAAAGGTGGCATATCCTTCTAGCTTGAGACATAGATGAGGGTCTGAATGGGGTTTTCAGAATAAAGAATGAGCCATAAGAACAAAGAATGGTGATAAATTGACAAAAAATGAAAAAAATGAAAACTGCAAATTATATTTAAGTTAATTAAAGAAAGTGGATCTAATATTTATATTGATTTTGGAGACTGAGATTGTTTTAAGATAACATAATTTAATACAATTATAAGAACGTGTGTTAAACATAAAATAACTGAAAAGGGGGTGGGGGTTAAAAAGAAGGTGACTGGGAGTTAAAATAGGTCGGTGTGTTGTGTTTGTTTTAAAAAGATATAACCATACGAATTCCTAACTTGAGCATTACCTAGAATAAATTATAAATTGATTCATTTTAGAAACTTGTGGAGGAATTATCACCCTTGATGTAGGAGTCGAAAGAATCATTGAATCACCAAACTATCCATCTGACTATCCAACAGGGCTAGAATGTACTTGGTTGATTAAGGTAGGAAGTGTCACCTCTTGAAGTAATCAAGCTGTTCAACCAACTATCCAACGTCAACAGGTCTAGATTGTTCTTGGTTAATTAAAGTATGAATTTTGTTATCTGCTGAAATGACCAAACTATTCATTAACTATTGAACAGTGTTAGAATGTACTTGGTTGATTAGGGTAAGAGTGTCCAATAGGGTTAGAATGTACTCGGTTGATTAGGGTAAGAGAATGTAATAAGGCTAGAATGTTCTTGGTTGGTTAGGGTAAGAGTATCCAATAAGGCTAGAATGTACTTGGTTGATCAGGGTGAGAGTATTCAAAAAGGCTAGAATGTACTTGGTTGATTAGTGTAAGAGTAACCCATAGGGCTAGAATGTATTTGGTTGATTAGGATAAGAGTATCTATTTACTAGCGCTCGTCACTTTCGTCATTTACGAAACTGTTTTCAAAATGACGAAAGTATTTCAAATCAATTTCGTCACTTAAATTTGAAAAGTGTAAAAATATTTTCGCATGAAAATACTATAATTCTACCTGTCTACATGTTTCTGACAAGTTTATGACCCTCAGCTAATTAACATTTACACCAGGTGTTATAAAGTTGTGATTACAGCTAATCCGCTTATCGCCATCGGATGGGTCACTAATCCGGTTAATTATTTTTCCCAGTAAATTTAGTCAGTCTGCATTTTAATTTCAATATTTCTCAAGGCCAACGACCACAATTTGCAGTTCGCTTGTCGTAGTTTCGTCATTTGAACAAAAATGTTTTCCCCAGGACAATTCGCTTGTTAATTTCAATATTTCTGAAACGATCATAACTTGCAGTTTGTTTGTAGTAGTTTCGTCAGATGATCGTCTTTTCGTCATCTTTGATATAAACGTTCAATTTTGATTAAAAAGATAGAACTTTGTTCAAAAAGTTCAGAAATGTTTTTCAAGTTAAACACTTCCATCATCATCAACTTGTCAAACAGGTGCTTCCTTTACGATATACTGCGCATGCATGAAAGTATTCCTATGAATGTATAGACACTTAAACGTATAATACGAAATAATTTAATTTTGGATGTAACGCGTCTTCTGATTGGCTGACGTTGTTTTGTTTATCAGCCCATAGACATAATTGTGTCATGTGACCGTGACGTCATCAACGTTTTTTCATGGTTTACTCCGGTTTAAAATGGAATTTAGAATTAAATTATAAGAAATGACTGTAATATTTTTTCTGTCTATTCGAAATAACATAAAAAATGTGGTGCACACTTTAAAATAACCCGCTACGCGGGTTATTCAGTGTGCACCACATTTTTTATGTTATTTCTTCATAGACAGAAAAAATATTACAGTCATTCCTTAAATGAATTCAGTGCCAAAAATAAATGAGAGAGATAAATATAGTTCGTACTAAGCAAATTGAAATAAAAAAATGATAATTTCCTGGCTTTTTTTAAACACGAACCAATCCGTAGATGAATCCGGATTCATTCTGAATTTATTATCTACTTGTCACTTCCCGTTTACATTTCATTTGAAAATCGAAAGTAAACGTGATCAATTCCCGATTGGTTTACAATTTACATTTATTGGAATCGTTCCATGTGAATTTGTACAAATCCTTGGTTCCAACTTTATAGAATTTAATTCAAAATATCGATTTAAACGTCTTATAAGGATAATGATTATGCAGTGTAATAGTCTTATAAAGTTCAACAAGTTCATTTATACTGTGATTCCTGGTTTTAAAAAAAGGAACCCAACTTTTGTTGATCAGGAATGTCCCCTGAAACTAATTGAAGTAAAATTTTGAACTAGATTTTCAGATCTTATATCCTAATCAAAGATGTATAGTTAGTAATATACATACATCCTTGGTCCCTTGCTGTTACCCAAAATAATGTTGATTTTCATCTCGCGCAAAAGTGACTTAAGCCCTCAAAATCCTAGCTTAAACCCTGAAAAATGATTTAGGCTAGAATGTATTTGGTTGATTATGGTTAGAGTATCCTTCAGCGATGGCATGTACTTGGTTGATTAGGGTAAGTGTATCTAACAGGGCTAGAATGTTCTTGGTTGATTAGGGTGCTACCCTTTGATTTTTATGGGGTGCTTGGATGAAATTTGAAAAAAATAGGCAGGACAGGAGTTTTGAGTAAAAAAAAAGGCAGGATGAGACACTTGCAAAAAAAAAGTCAGGATATCAATTTAGGTAAAAAAAAGTTAGGATAAACTTTTAAAAAAAAGACAGGACCGAATAGAGTGAAAAATAAAAAGCAGGACAGAGATTACAACTAAAAACAAATTTTCATCCTAGCCCTCCATAAAAATCAAATGGTAGCTCTCTTAGGGTAAGAGTATCCAATAAGGCTAGAATGTACTCTGTTGATTAGGGTAAGGGTATCCTACAGGGCTAGAATTTACTTGATTGATTAGGGAAAGAGTATCCTTTTAGGCTAGAATGTACTTGATTGATTAGGGTAAGTATAATGTTGACTAGGGTAAGAGTATGCAATAAGGCTAGAATGTTCTTGGTTGGTTAGGGTAAGAGTATCCAAGAGGGCTAAAATGTAGTTGGTTGATTAGGGTAAGAGTATTCACATGGCTATAATGTACTTGGTTGATTAGGGTAAGAGTATCCAACAGGGATAGAATGTACTTGGTTGATTAGGGTAAGAGTATCGAACAGGGATAGAATTTACTTGGTTTATTAGGGTAAGAGTATCCAGCAAGGCTAGAATGTGCTTGGTTGATTAGGGTAAGAGTATCCATTTAGTCTAGAATGTACTTGGTTGATTAGGGTAAGAGTATCCAACAGGGATAGAATTTATTTTGTTGATTAGGGTAAGAGTATCCATTTAGGCTAGAATATGCTTGGCTGATAAGGGTAAGAGTATCCAACAGGGATAGAGATTACTTGGTTGATTAGGGTTAAAATATCCATTTAGGCTAGAATGTACTTGGTTGATTAGGGTAAGAGTATCCACAGGGATAGAGTGTACTTGGTTGATTAGGGTAAGAGTATCCATTTAGGCTAGAATGTACTTGGTTAATTAGGGTAAGTGTAATGTTGACTAGGGTAAGAGTATGCAATAAGACTAGAATGTTCTTGGTTGGTTAGGGTAAGAGTATCCAATAAGGCTAAAATGTAGTTGGTTGATTAGGGTAAGAGTAATCACATGCCTATAATGTACTTGGTAGATTAGGGTAAGAGTATTCACATGCCTATAATGTACTTGGCTGATTAGGGTAAGAGTATCCATTTAGACTAGAATGTACCTGGTTGATTAGGGTAAGAGTATACAACAGGGATAGAATATACTTGGTTTATTAGGGTAAGGGTATCCAGTAAGGCTAGAATGTGCTTGGTTGATTAGGGTAAGAGTATCCATTTAGGCTAGAATGTGCATGGTTGATAAGGGTAAGAGTATCCAACAGGGATAAAGATTACTTGGTTGATAAGGATAAGAGTATAGAACAAGGCTAGAATGTACTTGGTTGATTATGGTAAGATTATCCATTTAGGCTAGAATGTTCTTGTTTGATTAGGGTAAGACTATCGATCAGGAATAGAATATACTTGGTTGTTTAGGGTAAGATTATCCATTTAGACTAGAATGTACTTGGTTGATTAGGGTAAGAGAATCCAACAGGGTTTGAATGTACTTGGTTGATTAAGGACAGAGTATCCAACTGGGATAGAATGTATTTGGTTGATTAGGGTAAGAGAATCCTACAGGTTTTGAATGTACTTGGTTGATTAGGGAAAGAGAATCCAACTGGGATAGAATGTATTTGGTCGATTAGAGTAAGAGTATCCATTTAGGATAGAATGTACTTGGTTGATTAGGGTAAGAGTATCGAAAAATGATGGAATGTACTTGGTTGATTAGGGTAAGATTATATTTTTAGAGTAGAATGTACTTGGTTGATTAGGGTAAGAGTATCGAAAAATGATGGAATGTACTTGGTTGATTAGGGTAAGATTATCCTTTCAGAGTAGAATGTACTTGGTTGATTAGGGTAAGAGAATACAACAGGGTTAGAATGTACTTGGTTGATTATGGAAAGAGTATCCAACAGGGGTAGAATGTACTTGGTTGATTAGGGTAAGAGTATCCAACAGGGATAGAATGATCTTGGCTGATTAGGGAAAGAGTTGTCATCTGGTGAAATAATAAAAATCTTCGACCAACTATCCTTTTAGACTTGTGAATATGTGGTTTAAAATTATTTTTCTGGTGAAAGCACTAAACTATTGATCCAACTATTCTACATGTTTAAAGTGGTTATCAAAGGAAAATAATGTCTGTTCTGTTGTAAAACTCACCATACTATCCATCTAAAGTCACTGGTCTATAGTGTTAACTTTAAGGTAGAACTGCACTTCTGAAGCATTCTTGTTTTTTTTTCTCTTAGGGAACGGCTAATAGCTTAGTAAGAGCCTCAGTACAGTATATGAATATATCTTCTGGTGCTACATGCAGTCATTGGTTGGAATATAGATATAATTTATTGGGACAGAAAGGTCCAAAGTGAGTATTGTTGGTCAGAGAAGAATTATATAATTTATTAGGACAGAATGGTCCAAAGTGAGTATTGTTGGTTGAAGTAGAGATATAATTTATTGGGACAGAAAGGTCCAAAAAAAGTATTGTTGGTTGAAGTAGAGATATAATTTATTGGGACAGAAAGGTCCAAAAAAAGTATTGTTTGTTGTAGTAGAGATATAATTCATTGGGACAGAAAGGTCCAACATGAGTATTGTTGGTTGAAGTAGAGATATAATTTATTGGGACAAAAAGGTCCAAAGTGAGTATTGTTGGTTGGAGTATAGATATAATTTATTGGGACAGAAAGGTCTAAAGTGGGTATTGTTGGTTAAAGTAGAGATATAATTTATTGGGACAGAAAGGCCCAAAGTGAGTATCGTTGGTTGGAGTAGAGATATAATTTATTGGGACCGAAAGGTCCAAAGTGAGTATTGTTGGTTGAAGAAGAGATATAATTTATTGGGATAGAAAGGTCTAAAGTGTAAAAATTATGAAATATCAGACTAGAATATTTTTTTAAAACTATGTATTGAGGACAGTTTGACCACATCTTACACTTTTTAGTGTATATTTTTATAATACAGGGTATGTGGTACAAACTTTGTTGCCGATGAAGAAGTATGGGACAGTACACCTGATGAGCTGAGCAATGCCATGATAATAATATTTGACAGTAACACATACTCATCTACGGCAGCTTCAAAAGGATTCTTCATTAAAGTTAGATCAATTGGAAATGGTTTGTATTTACAAGTGAAGATATCTCTACATTATAAGCTTCTTTCAGTACTGGGAAGGTGGTTTAGTTAGAGGCTACATTGCTAGCCACTTGCAGTACTGGGAAGGTGGTTTAGTTGTAGGCTTTACATGTCAATCCATCATATGCTTGTAACATTTTCTTGTTCATGAAATAATTGAATGATGGATACACAAGTTTAATGATATAAGTATATCTCTGCAAGATAAGTTTTTAAATGGAAACGCTCAACTAAAGTTTTTTTGAATATAAATTTTTTTTTAAATTTGGATATTAAAGCCACATGACTCTATTAGCCATGTTCGCTTTTGCCATCACAAGGCATCCATTGTTGTTTGTTTAAGCATACCTGTTTACTGACATGTATTTTGTGGGTGTGACCGCAAATTTACCATCTCATTACAGATTTAGTAATGACCTGCCCAGATTATCAAACAACATAAGATATCAATGTCTGACCCGTTTTCACCCGTATTCTAGTGCCATGAGAATTCCAATGTCTAAAATGCTAAACTTTCTTCTGAAAAATGCAAAATGTGAAATGTTTTCAAGACAGGAAGTTGATAATTATCTCTCAGTTGAATGATTTATAGCTATCCAAACATAATTTTGACACTTTTGATTGAAAAGCAATAAAATTAGCTAATTATCTTGTCAATTGTACCCAAGAAAGGCTGAAGCCAGTTAAGCTTGATATACAATTTTATTTCCTGGTTTATAATATTTGCAGTTTGCAAATATCAATTATACTAGTATATTTAAATCATTTAAAAACAATTTAAACCCTTATTATACATATGTGTAGAAGAGATACACGTCCCTAAACATTTTTAACCATTTATATTTGTCGTCACTAAAAATCAATGTCCTATACTTGGGACTGCACAGAATGTGAACAACAATAAATTCCTCTTTCTCTTAATCTTCCTTCTATGTATAGGAACACTAGCTATAGCTCATTTGTTATAATAACTTGGGGTTTATAGAATTCATTGATAAAAAATAGTGTGAATGAAACAATTAGAGGGCATTGCTTTATATTGATAGTTGATTAATAACGAATATTTAACAAATCTAATGACGTTGAAATGGAAACATTAAATTGAAATATTGAATTATTTGAAGTAAATACTTCATAATTGTATATTGTACACGTTATGGAATATTAAAAAAATTCTGTAAATTCTTAAATTCAACCTAAAAAATTTGAACACGTTATGATCTGACTTTTCGTCCTCTATTCAGATCATCGCTGCATTTTCATTTTCACGTACCATTTACCAGCTCACTGGTAGGCAAATGATCAATTTGACATGTGCATGAGTAAAATACATTTCTCAATAGTTTTATTCATGATATATTCAAAGGTTTATCATAGAATAACCCAATTGAAGTTGTTGATGACTGGTATTATTTTTCAGGATGTGTCAGCAACCCTTGTGTATATGGAAAATGCAGCAGCCCTGAGGGTACCAGTGCATATACATGTACATGTGACCATGGTGTATCAGGGACAAACTGTGATGTAATTAGTAGTAAGTATTATGTTACTGGTACTGTTGTTAACTGTTTTTAGGTCACCTGTCCGAAAGGCCAAGTGAACATTTCTCATCTCTTTGCGTTCGTCATCCTCCTTCGTTGTCTAGTCCTTAAAAAAAATATATCAGTTGCCCCCAGTTGCCATTCAAGATTGCCAACATGGCTAAAAATTGAACATAGCCCTGGGGTAAAATGCAATTTTTGCCTTTTATTTTGAAAACTGCTTTGCATAAAGGAATTTTGACATAAGCAAAAATGTTCAGAATGTTACGCTGTACTGTACCTATTGCCTATTTGGGTCTAAACTGTCGGACGACTTCTTATAGGAGTGTCCTTTCAGTGATGAATTTTACCATTTTTAAAATGTGTTTTCATATCTCGATAATCATAAAAGATAGACTGAAACTTTAAAAGCAAAAATAATCAGAAAGACAAAATCTACCAAAAATCAAATGACAAACATCGTCAGATGACTCTTTATTAGAATGATTGCCCTTAAATGAAGATTTTTACCAATTTTTAGCATTGTTATGCCCTACTTTATGTTTTTTCGGTCTGTACGTCCGTTCCTTCGTTCTTCCGTTTGTTCGTCCATTTGTCCGTCTGTCCTGTTTCGGGTTTAAGTTTTTGGTCAAGGTAGTTTTTAATGAAGTTGAAGTCTTGTCAACCTGAAACTTAGTACACATGTTTCCTATTTCTAATTTTAATGCCAAATTAGAGTTTTGACCCTAAATTTGCGGTCCACTAAACATAGAAAATGATAATGCGAGTGGGCCATCCGTGTACTATGGACACATTCTTGTTTCCTTATATATATCTTGAAAACTATAATAGGTAGATGGAAACAAAACAAACATAAATGATCAGCAAGACAAGATCTACAAATAAGTCAACATGACCAAATCGTTAGTCGACTCCTTATTGAAGTTATTGCCCTTTAATGATGATTTGTCCCATTGTGCCTATTGTAATAGATAGAAAGAAACTGTATGAAGCACAAATGATCAGCAATACAATATCTATGAATAAGCCATAATGACAGAAATCTTCAGTCCACTTGTTTTGGAGTTATTGCTGTTTAATGATAATTTTTATTTTTTTTTGCATTTTTTGCCTATTATTTTGAAAACTATAATAACTACACGGAAACTTTTCAAAGGAAAAATCATCAGCAGGATAAGATTTACAAATATGTCAACATTACTGAAATTGTCAGTTAACTCTATATATAATCATTCCCCATAAAAATGACCATTGTTGAAGATGCAGGTGAGCAACACAGGCTCTTTAGAGCCTTTAGCTACTTTTTTAAGTTGGTTAACAATTGTTCTGTTATTGTTTATAAAAAAATACCTTTCTCGAATTGAGATAAAAATATATTCCAGAATTTTCTACTTTTGAATTCCAAAGAATATAAAATGAGTGTGTATAGTTTTGTATTACTTCAACTTGGACAAATAATTAGTTGATGCACCCTGTCAAGCAAAACCATACCCTTGTTGCAATCTGTCAAGGTCAAACAAAATAATCCCTTGATACACCCTGTCAAGCAAAAATATGCCCTCGATGCACCCTGTCAATCAAAATAATACCCGTGATGCACCCTGTCAAACAAAATGATACCCTTGATACACCCTGTCAAACAAAATGATACCCTTGATGCACCCTGTCAAACAAAATAATATCCTTGATACACCCTGTCAAGCAAAATAATACCCCCGATGCACCCTGTCAAACAAAATAACACCCTCAGTGCACCCTGTCATGCAATATAATACCTTCAGGGCACCCTGTCAAGCAAAATGATACTCTCGATGCACCCTGTCAAACAAAATATTACCCGAAATGCACCCTGTCAAACAAAATGATACTCTCAGTGCACCCTGTGATGTTATTTGTGTTTTATTGGAATAGTAACCATGACTTTTATTATGTTTTAGCCTCCTTTTCAGTTCATTGTACATTTGAGTATGGAGAAAGATGTATGTTTGAGAATGAAGCAAGTAATGCAATAAATTGGGACTTTAACAGTGTAAGTTTAACATAAAATGCATAAATAAAAAAACAATTCTGCTCACCCAAGGGCCAAGTGAGCTTTTCTCCTCACTTGGCATCCGTAGTCGTCTGTTACCTTTTATAAAATTTTCTCCTCTGAAATTACTGGACCAAATTTAACCAAACTTGGACATAATCATCATTATGGTATCTAGTTTGAAAAAGAGTTTGATGACCCCGTCTGCTAACCAAGATTGTCAACATGTCTAAAATAGAACATAGGGGAAAAAATGTAAGTTTTGTCTATTATTATGAAAACCGTAAAAATGGTCAAAATGTTAAGCTCTACACGTCAAAACTGTCAGATGTTCATTGACAAATATTACCATTTTTTTTTCATTTTTGCCTATTATCCTGAAAACTATAATGGATAGAGAGAAAATGTAAATTCTAAAAATGATCAGCAAAACAAATAAGTCTACAATATTTGAAATCGTCAGTCGACTCCTTATTACAGTTATTGCCCTTGTTGATGATTTTTACCATTTTTTTTTGCGTTTCTGCCTGATATCTTAAAAATGTTAATAGATAGATAGAAATTTAAACAAGTAAAAATGATCAGCAAGACAAGATCTACAATTAAGACTAATATAGAGGAAATCGTCTGACGACTCCATATTGGACTTATTGCCCTTTAATAACGATTGTTATCACCTTTTTGTGTTTTGCCTTATATACTAAAGATTATGATAGATAAATAGACACTTTACATCACAAAAATGATCAGCAAGACAAGCTCTACAATTAGCATAAAATGGATCAGCAAGGCAGGATCTACTAACAAGTCAAATTTTGCCGATATAGGCTGTCACTCTTCATAGAAGTGATTGCCCTTAAATGAGGATTTTTTTTACCCTTTTGTGTTTTGAGTAAAATCTAAAGAAGATAAAGAGAAACTAAACAAACTTAATTATCAGCAATACAAGATCAACAAAACCGAGTTTTTTTGTCATGAATTCTATTCTCGTCTACAATGTTGGAGAGTGTCCTTTATTGAATATGCACATAGACCAAGGTTAGCGACACAGGCTCTTTAAACCCTCTAGTTTTATGTCCTTTTTGGTCATATAGTTCTTCAACTGTTTTGAGGTTCTTATACATCATTGACTTTTAAATATTCAGCTTTGAACATTCCTGATGAAGGGAAATCCAGAAAAACACTTGAGACCCATGAAATTTATAAAATGTTGTTTTCATTTTTGAAAGGAATGTAGGGAATTTATTCTTTGAAATACGGTCATTTTAACAGGGATTGTCTACCACCTTTCTACCTCACCTGCAATTGAAATACAGTCATTTAAACAGGGATTGTCTACCCTCTATCTACCCCACCTGCCATTGAAATACAGTCATTTAAACAGGGATTGTCTACCCCCTTTCTACCTTACCTGCCATTGGAATACATTCATTTAAACAGGGAGATTGTCTACTCCCTTTCTACCTCACCTGCCATTGAAATACAGTCATTTAAACAGGAATTGTCTACCCCCTTTCTACTTCATATGCCATTGGAATACATTCATTTAAACAGGGAGATTGTCTTCCCCCTTTCTACTTCACCTACCATTGACATACAGTCATTTAAACAGGGATTGTCTACAATCTTTCTTCCTCACCTGCCATTGAAATACAGTCATTTAAATAGGGATTGTCTACCCTCTTTCTACCTCACCTGCCATTGAAATGCAGTCATTTAAACAGGGATTGTCTACCCCTTTCTACCTCACCTGCCTTTGAAATACAGTCGTTTAAACAGGGATTGTCTACCCCTTTCTAATTCACCTGCCATTGAAATAAAGTCTTTTAAACATGGATTGTCTACCACCTTTCTACCTCACCTGCCATTTAAATGTAGTCATTTAAACAGGGATTGCAGATTGTCTACCACCTTTCTACCTCACCTGCCATTGAAATACAGTCATTTAAACAGGGATTGCAGATTGTCTACCCCCTTTCTATCTTACCTGCCATTTAAATGTAGTCTATTAAACAGGTATTGTAGATTGTCTACCACCTTTCTACCTCACCTGACATTGAAATACAGTCATTTAAACAGGAATTGCAGATTGTCTACCACATTTCTACCTCACCTGCCATTGAAATACATTGTCTACATCTAATAGTTATATATAAAGTTGAATTCTTTGATTCCTAGTTTTCACGTCATGCTGGCTAACAAATTGGACCTCTTTATTTTAGTGGTGTAAATGATAAAAAGATAGAAACTTTAAAAAGCTAAACTAGTCAACCTATCTTTAAAAAGCAAAATTAGTCAACAAGTCATGATCTTCAAATAATACTACATGACCGAAATCATCAGACAACTCGTTTTTAAAGTTATTGCCCTTTAATATAAACTTTTCCCAATTGTTTGCATTTTCGCCTATAATGGTGAAAACTATTATAGATCGAAACTGTAAATAGCAAAAAGAGATTTATAAAAAAATAGAGAGGAGGAGTTCTGAATACAAATTGAGAGGGAAGAGTTCTGAATACAAATAGAGAGGAGGATTTCTGAATACAAATTGAGAGGAAGGAGTTCTGAATACAAATAAAGAGGAGGAGTTCTGAATACAAATAGAGAGGAGGAGTTCTGAATACAAATAGAAAGGGAGGAGTTCTGAATACAAATTGAGAGGAGGAGTTCTGAATACAAATTGAGAGGGAGGTGTTCCCATATAAAAACTATGGAGGATAGAACAATCGATATGAACAATTGATATGATCATTATATATAGTCTTCTATAGATAGTATTAGTATGTCAGACATAATTTGAGTTGGAGTTGTTTCCATTTGGCCCCATATTGGAGGGCAAACTGTTTGAATTATACAAGGCTTAAACAAACTTAAATTGTTCAGAACACATCTTTTTCAAAAGTCTCGTCTTCAGCTTGGTCAGTGTAACCATTTGAATTTGGTTGATTCATGAAGGAATTTGTGTAAATTACCTTTCAAAACGGCAACAAAAGGAAATAACTCTAAATTCAAATTACTTCAATCGAAAACTTTTATCTATAAGAGGCTTAAAAATAGATTATAGAAAGATTACGATAGTTTTTGATTTTGATGATTGTATAAGTTTCTTTTTTTTTAGATAAATATAGATTTTGCAATACCACCCCAATGAATTCAATATATAGTTAATCAAGATAGTTGAATTTTCAAATGAGAGGTTTATTTATATCATAATTTTTAAGTCATAAATACATAATGGGAAAAAATATAGGAGACACTAAATAGATTTACTAGCTATTTATTGTCAGAATATTTGACTCTATAAATATATTATTGTTCCAAGTAACTGAAAATGACGAAGGTATTGCGATTCAACTGAATTTGAGTTTATACTGACAGCTATAAATGTGCTCCTTCACAATGTTTGATGCTGTGCAATTGCATTATTTTTATTAATATATTTTTTAATGAATAGAAAAGCACACCATCAAGCAATACGGGACCAGACAATGCTCAAGAAGGATTCCAGTACGTGTATACAGAGGCATCAGGGAACAATAAAATGGCTGGTGATAAAGCTGTGATGTCTACAAGTATACAGTTACCAAGTAAGATAAGAAAAAATAACAAGAGTGTAGCAGTCACTTAGTAATGACAAACAATTCACCTTTCAGAATTTAAGTGACTAAGGGTAATTTCATTGTTTCTACTTCCCCCCTCCTCCAAAAAAATATAATGTAATATTATTGGTTGAATATCCAGTGATTATGTTGTTGTTAGCCAATCAAAACTTTTTGATGCTCACTTTTAAAAATATTATCCGGAACTTATCAGATTCTGAAATGGCAAATTCCACAGAATGTTAAAACCAATTTTAGTTCCACACAATTTTTAGTGAAAAGATCAAATAAAAATGTCATGCACTTAAAGCCTCTAAGAATTTGTGTTGTCAGTGGCATTATGCTGCCATGGAATGGTGTATGTGGCAGACAGGACTCTGTTTGTTTTAGCACATTGCTTTGTAGTCAAAGATCCTTGTATGAAGCTGATATAACTGAATAAAAAAACAGTTACTTTGTAAACATGGTTTTTTGAGATATTTTTTCTTTGTTCTAATGCTACTGTCGGCCTTTTGTAGAATAATGACAAATTTTGAACACTTAATATCATGACCCTTTGACTGAAAACTATCAAACTTGGTTATAGTTGACCATACCAAACAGCCATTTTGATTTGACTGTTAATGTAGGAGTAATGGGACTTTGATTATTAATTTTTGATGACATCTTGTGAATTCTATGTGGATTATATGTGAAGTGGACAATTTTATACCACTATTTCTTCAGAAATGCTTAGTGAATGTGTAGTTGATAATTTTATACCTCTATTTCTTCAGAAATGCCTAATGAATGTGTAATCTTATACATTGTAGCTACTAGCCGCTGTATGACGTTTTATTATCACATGAAGGGTTCTAATATGGGTACTTTAAATATATACACTGAGGGAACAAATACAGCAAAATCTAATATATGGACACAGTCTGGAGCTAAAGGCAATGATTGGATTAAAGGAGAAGTAGATATACCTGCCATTAATGGTCTTAATGTAAGCAGCTTCGTTAATAGATGATGATGATGATGGATGGCTGCTTTAAGTCCAGCGTGAAATTAATATGCATATTCAGTACGAGAATGTGTTAATGTAATATGAATATAAACCCTGTACTTGACAGACACGGTGCTAGTTCTCAAGGTAACAGTCCCCAGGAAGACATGTCACCTTACCCGGACATATTATTCTAAATCCGAGCCGACCAGTCTTTGCTCTTACTCCTTAATGCCATGTGCTTAGCGGAGAAGCAGCAAATACTAATTTTAAAGTCTTTAGTTTGACCCGGTGGGCGTTCGAACCTACGACATCCCGCACTGGAGGCAAATACACTACCACAAAATCACTGAGTCGGTTTCTTTAATAAAGATACGGGCAATACCAAAGGGACAATATAACCCTTTAGTTGGAAAACAAATTGACAATGCAATGCCAAAGAACAAAAAAAAAAATGAGCAAAAAGTCACACACTAGTCTACCAAACACAATATAAAATAGAAAACTAAAAACTGAGCAACAAAAACAAAAAACAAAAACCCCACCAAAATCAAGGATGATTTAAGCTTTGTTTTTTAAAGGTCTTAGAAAAGAATAGAGAAGTTTCTTTATTGCTTTTGTCTATCTTAACATTGTGAAACCATAGTGATTAACACCTTATTAGATTACAACACCTTATTAGGTCACAATTTTCTTGATAATTGTTTGATTGAATATTGTCTTCCTTTGATGAAGTAAAACAGCACTCATAAGTATTGCTTCGACAAAATTGAGAAAACGAAGCATGGCACGCTTTTACCAGCAGGCAGGTCAATGATATTTGGTATGCAGTTGTATTAGCATTGGCACATCTCATTTCCATGGAGATTATGTGGTCCGCCCCCTAAGTCATGTTCTATTGATTTTGTAACCTTTGCGTTGTTTAACATGTATTTGGTCAGTTTAAGAGGACAACTAGTGGTACGTCAATGATATGACATGATATGATATAAGCGGTATGCAGTTGTATTTAGCGGTATGCGGTTGTATTTAAGCGGTATGCGGTTGTATTTAAGTGGTATCCGGTTGTATTAGCATTGGCATATCTCATTTACGTGAAGACTATTCAGTGATAGTGTGTAGATATTGCCATTTTGATTTGAAAAAAAGTTGCATTATACATACTATCAAAGTCACATAAAAGCAAGACATCTCTGTGTATACAGTGTATTACTGTTAGTTGTCACTTTCATCACCCTCGACGACTACAGACTACCAGTTTTTATTGGTGGAGGAAGCTAGAGAACCAGGAGATATCAAATGACTTGTGGCAAAAAATCTTGGTAATGCTTGTCAATTAAGGTGGTACATAACACTACAGGAAGATAACTCTGTAAAAATCAGCTGAACGTTTTAATCACGTTTGATTGTTAAGGAAATACTAAGCTTTTCATTGATCAAAATTAGTGTTTGTCAAACTGATATATATCCCATTAAAGATTTCCAATAAAGTGTGTGGTTCAAGTTTTTTGAAATTTAATATTTTGTCAAAGGGTCAAAGTAAATATTTTGTCAAAATTTTATGAAAATTAAACGAGCCAAATTAATTTTAGTCAAGGTGTTTGGCACCACCTGAAAATCAAAGATAATTACACTTTGCCACAAGCATTTTTTTATACATTCAACTTCAGTATTAATAGAACAGATCAATATAGGTAAAATGATTAGACCATTCTCCCAATATTCATGCATCTATTAGATAGTACTGTAATTTAAGAAATCGATGCATGTATTTATTATTGGAAACCCTTGACAACTGTCAATGTGAAATCTAATTAATGCTATTGCAAATATTTTATGAAGGACCATCACTATTGAAATTAATGATGCAATTTTCAATTATTGCGAATGTGATACTGTCAATGATTTTTTGCATTAAACATCGCAATAATTTCTAATTTTGCAGTAATAACTACATTTATATCGGTAGTCAATTCTGCTCATACATTCAACAAGTATTCACAGTACAATTCTACTAGTGAAAGTATTTCAGTCTTCACGATAAACGATTTTTACAGACTCGACAGCATTTTTACAATTAAGCCTGGGCTGGTAGGCCTGTAGTTGAGCGTGAAGACTGCATGTACAGTGATTAGCATTGCTAGTTTTATCGAGCCTGTGACTTTTGTCGCAGAAAGCTTGACATAGGGATAGTGATCCGGCGGTGGGGGCGGCGTCGTTAGCTTAATTCTTAAAAGCTTCATATTTTAGAAGTAGGAAGACCTGGATGCTTCATAATTTGTATATAGATGTCTTATGTTACGAAGTTTCCATCTGTCACATGTCCATTGTCCTTGACCTCATTTTCATGGTTCAGTGACTACTTGAAAAAAAGTTAAGATTTTTTGTAATGGTTATTTCTCTCTTATTATGAGTAATAGGATAACTATATTTGGTATGTGCGTACCTTGCAAGGCCTTCATGCCCGTCCGACAGTTTCACTTGACCTCGACCTCGTTTCATGGATCAGTGAACAAGGTTAAGTTTTGGTGGTCAAGTCCATATCACAGATACTAAAAGCAATAAGTCTAGCATATTCGGTGTATGGAAGGATTGTAAGGTGTACAAGTCCAACTGGCAGGTGTCATCTAACCTTGACCTCATTTTCATGGTTCAGTGGTTATAGTTAAGTTTTGTGTTTTGGTCTGCTCTTTTTATACTGTATGCAACAGGTCTACTATATTTGGTGTATGGAATGATTATAAGGTGTACATGTCTAGCTGGCAGGTGTCTTTTGACCTAGGCCTCATTTTCATGGTTCATTGGTCAATGTTTAGTTTTCTTGGTTAAGTCTGTATCGTAGAAACTATAAGTAATAGGTCAACTATATTTAGTGTATTGAATGATTGTAAGGTGTACATGTAATTCTAGTTTGGTTTATATGAATTTGACCTGGATCATGTTAAGTTTATGTGATAGTTGTAGTAAAGCTTTATATTTAGGACTATCAACATAATATCACTGATTAGTAAAGAAGGCGAGACATTTCAGCGTGTGCACTCTTGTTCAGCTGATGATCTTGGTTTCCTTTTTGGCACTTATATAAAAAATATAAAAAATGGCTGCCACAGCATGGAGAATAGTGCTGAAAATGCTGTTAAACACTGCTTGAGCAATCAATCAATATTTCATGTACTAACATTATTTATTATAATGAGAGAAAATATGCGAAAAAACAAAGGACCATTATAGTTGCAAGTCTTTTGACAATATATAAATACTTTACTAAATTATTCGATTCTAAAAATACACTGCTAACATACAATAGCTGTACAAGGTTGAAAATTCTTCATAAACTAAGTTATATATACACCTTTTTCCTATTGTGGCATAGGTTTGACATGCAGCTTTTTCTTATTGTGGCATAGGTTTGATATACAGCTTTTTTTTATTGTGGCATAAGTCTGATATACAGCTTTTTCTTATTGTGGCATAGGTTTGATATACAGCTTTTTCTTATTGTGGCATATATTATGTTTGATATGCAGCTTTTTATGCCCCCGCAACTGAAAGTTGGGGGGTATATTATTTTACCCCTGTCCGTCCGTCCAATTATGGGTATATAGCTATTTCAGATAACTTCTCCTACAGTTTGAATGATAGGACGTTTTCACTTTGCTAGCTGTTTGTACATATATTGAAGGTGTGCATGTGGTCAGGGTTTTGATTTTTATTGATAATTGTTTTTTGGGAGATAGTTGAACTTTGTCAATTTTGGAGTAAATACTTGCATAAGAGGTGCATAGCGTTTCCGGATAACTCCTCCTACAGTGAACTATAGACCTGTGTGCTCCCATGAAACAATGAATTTGACTATAGACTATAATGACTGCAGTTTAACTTTAGATATACAGTGTTGCATTGTGACTTGTTTCAGATAACAATTGAAGGTGTTCGTGGACCTGGATGGAAAAGCGACATTGCAATTGATGATTTATCACTTATTCCAGGAACTTGTGGTAAGATTATTACACAAATTCAAAGGGGAGTTAATCAGGGTAACAGGCTATTTTTCTGTCCCCCATGTGACCTGTTGTGAGGAACATAGAAAATAACATGCGTCTGTCCTTATAAGTGCTCCCACATGTACAATACTTACCAGATTTTTATAAAACCTATATCGTAGATATATATCAGTTATGTCTATGGCAAGTCAAAATCAGTGCCGAGCAACTCTTTTTAAAAGAGTTATACCTATTGGAAATGTTTATTATCTAAAAATTGCAATGTAACCACTTTCACATATAAGTTTTGCCAAATTTCATAAAATGTATATCAGCAATGTCTAACACAAGTTTGAAAATAAGTGTAGATCAAATATTTTTGAAAGAGTTAAGCCCCTTGGAAGTAATAATTATATTTAAAATTGCTTAAAGAAGTCATGATTATAGTTAATTATTTTAACAGCCAACCCCGTTACAGCTGGTCCAACAAACTCACCAACTACACCGACTACAACTACACCAATGACAACTGAACCAACTACAATTAAACCAACTACAACTCAACCAACTACAACTAAAGTGACTACAATTCAACCTCAACCGACTACAACTACACAGAATCCACCAACAGGTATGTATATTTATGTTTTATGCTTACATCTAATCTGTACATCTTTACAACTACTTTGTTTGGGGGTGAGGTAGAAGGGGGTCTCATCCTGAATATCAGAGTAAAAAAGGCAAATCCTGAATTCTAGTGCAAATAACGGTCCTTTACTGCATCAGGATATTTTCAAATCCTGTTTTTTTTTGTTCCAGATGATTGCACTGACTATTCCAGAATTCCCCTGAAATTATCTAATGAGCTAAAAAATGTATACTCATTTATCAGGTAGCACTGAAAATAATGATTTCATATTTGGTCAGCAGGTTGATTTATCAGGTAGCACTGAACATAATGATTTCATATTTGGTCAGCAGGTTGATTTATTAGGTAGCACTGAACATAATGATTTCATATTTGGTCAGCAGGTTGATTTATCAGGTAGCACTGAACATAATGATTTCATATTTGGTCAGCAGGTTGATTTATTAGGTAGCACTGAACATAATGATTTCATATTTGGTCAGCAGGTTGATTTATCAGGTAGCACTGAACTTAATGATTTCATATTTGGTCAGCAGGTTGACACTTATTGATTGAAACCATGTTCACTTTTCAAATCTGTCAGCTGCCTGCCTCTGTCTGCCCATACTTTGAATTTTTCAATATGTTGAATGAATTTGAATTTTACCTCTCAAATTTCTTCAGCAATACTTGACAGAATGACTGTAAAATTGATCAGCAGCCCAACAATGATGAGTTGTAATGTGTGTGTGAGCTTAACAGAATGACTGTAAAATTGGTCAGCAGCCCAACAATGATGAGTTGTAATGTGTGTGTGAGATTAACATAATAACTGTAAAATTAGTCAGCAGCCCATCAATGATGTGTTGTATTGAGTGTGTGAGCTTAACATAATGACTGTAAAATTAGTCAGCAGCTTATCAATGATGTGTTGTATTGAGTGTGTGAGCTTAACATAATGACTGTAAAATTGGTCAGCAGGTCATGAGTGATGAGTTGTTATGTGTGTGTGAGCTTAACAGAATGACTGTAAAATTGGTCAGCAGCCTAACAATGATGAGTTGTAATGCGTATGTGAGCTTAACAGATGAGTCTAACACATACTTCCTTTTTTCAGATACTTTTAATGATGTGTTAGAGTATGCTTAGCAGGAAAGCATGTGCACTCTTGTTTTACAATAGCAATAGATAAGTTTTGATATGACGTAATTTCAGTTTGAGTTGCTTCCCTTGGCTGCCAGTGTGGTGGGTAAATGGTTTATTTTTCTTATTTGACTAACCAAATTGATGTTTGTGATACAAACATATCTGATAAGAGATCCTTACTAGATCATAGTGAATGATCAAGCAAAAGAAATTTAAATAGTTCAGAAAATTACCTTTTCTACAGTTAGCGGTCAATATTATTTAACAAATTAGGCTATTTTATGAGGGAATTTCTGCACATACACCTCCAACATGGTAGCAAAAGGGAAGTAACTCTTCCTCAAATTGTGTCAATTGAAACCTATATATACAATGACAATCTTTATGATGTTATATAGACAAAGGGAGATAAATTCATTCAAAATTTGGTTCCTTTGGCACCCTCTGCTTTATCATCATGATCAGTTTTAATACTGTGGAAACATTGTTATTCGTGGGATATCAATTTTCGTGGATTCCGTGTGCAAATGTGAACCACGAAGTTAAATGTTCAACGAAATACAAGTTTTCTATATGCTTGCATGCAGACTTAGGCAAAACTACGAAATCAAATTTCCACGAACATACAATTTTTCCTCAATCCACGAAAATTGGTACCCATGAAAATAAATGAATCCACAGTAGTCGAGGAAATCATTGTTCCTGAAGGGAACCATCACCTTAAGAAAGAAAACTGACAGTCCTTGTCAATTTTGATTCCATATCTTATTTAAAAGCCCTCACTACAAACCAATGAAAGTCTGAAATGGCATATTTGTTGTTCAGTAGTTGTCGTTTGTTGATGTGGTTCACAAGAGTTTTTTCGTTTCTCGTTTTGTATATAGATTAGGCCGTTGGTTTTCCCGTTTGAATGGTTTTACACTAGTAATATTTTGGGGCCCTTTATAGCTTGCTGTTCGGTGTGAGCCAAGGCTCCGTGTTGAAGACCGTACTTTGACCTATAATGGTTTACTTTTATTAATTTTGACTTGGATGGAGAGTTGTCTCATTGGCACTCATACCACATCTTTTTATATCTATATCTGTACTCGACTGTACTGATTTGTACTCGAACAGTCTGAATTGGTCTGAAATTTACGTGATATTACTCGACTGTAGTCTGAACTTATACTCGACCTTTATTCGACCAGTACTTAACCATTTTATACGAGTCTGAACCATACTCGACATAGTTTTAACCATTCTCGACCAAGTCTGAACCATGCTGGACCTAGTCTGAACCATACTCGACCAAGTCTTAACCAACCTAGACCTATGTTTTGTATCTATCTATTGTATTTCATTAATTAAGGAACTGTTATACATATATATATATATTTTAAATTAATATTTAAGATCCATTTTGTTACATATGGTGGTCATTTTATTTGGCAATCGCCAATGACAGTCAGCAGGGTTTAAGAACATCCGTTGTTCGACCTGCTAGTCAAATGTGTTTTGTTAAAATATACTTTGTCACTTTTTTGGTCGTTTTGGAAAATGTTGTTTGTGCTGTATTTAGACCCCTTTACCAAGAAATTTGTTTTGCATGCACACGTATAAAAATTGCGGTTTTTATCCAACGCAATCATAGGTTTGAACGTTGGTTTCAATTTAGACTTGTTTATAATTTTTCGTTTAGGCTTGTATTATATTTTCCCTCGGGTTTATATGATCCGTTCATCCTATTTGGACTCTTTAAAATTCAAGAGTCTATCCTAAATTGAGGTAAATTATATGGCCTTCCAAATATCGTTTCGATCCCTAACATCACTGAAGAGACATTAATTGTCGAAATCCGGATATGGTGTACAACTTTTTGCACCTCATGTTTGTGGTTTACCATCTTTCCCGCAAGTTTATTGTTTTCTGTTTGGTATTAAATTAATATTAAGATCCATTTTGCTAAATCTTGTGATCAATTTATTTGGCAATCGTCAATGGCAGTCAGCAGGGTTTAAGAACATCAGTTGTTCGACCTGTTAGTCAAATGCGTTTTGTTAAAATATACTTTTTCACTCTTTTTGGTCTTTTGGAAATTGTTGTTTGTGCTGTATTTAAACCCCTCTACCACGAAATTGTTTTACATGCACACGTATAAAAATTGCGGTTTTTATCCGACGCAATCATAGGTTTGAACGTTGTTTTCAATTTAGACTTGTTTATATATATATATATATACACACACACAATGTATATCACATTTAAAATTAGAATAAAACAAGGTTATCAAATTTCTCGTTGGATTAAAAAAATATCACGTAATAAATTAAGCTTTCGTTAAATGAATTTTTATATATATGATATCATGTTCACATTGCTTTATATACATCAAAAATACTAGAACTTTCAACCATTATTCAAATATCTTAAATGTTATTCAAGTTTTTATTTATCAAAATATATATGAAATAGAAATAAATGTTGAAATTGACATCTTTGTTTTGTAAAACCAAGAATTTAATATAATAATAATTAAAAAATAAAGCAATCATTGATAACCTTTTAAAAAAGGAAATGCATTCCAAAGTTGCAGTAGAAATTTATTTTTCGTAGATACGTTTTGTCAAAATTAAAGACATGGCATACAAGAAGCACTTTAATTATGTTTAATTACCTTAGAACAGGTGTGTTTACAGGTAAAAAGAAAACCCTATTTTTCTTTAAACTCGTGTATTACGTAACTAGTGAATTGAAAAGGCCTTGTTATTTTAAGTTTTACAGAATGTTGTAATTTTCAATTGATGTTATTTAAAATTTATTACACTCTGACCAGGTGTGATCTTTTTAATCAGTGTGCCCCAAGCAGGATGAATTACCTTATAGTTTACCCCTAATCATTTCTTTAATTTTTTATCCCTTTCTAAAATATATATATTCCAAATTATAAATAGAAAAAGATATATTTTTGATATAAAGTTAAACAATATAAGTGATTTTGGTGGCTGTTGTTACCTCATTATTGTATGTAACCATGAAACCTAAGTAGTTTTTATTTAAGAATTTAGGAAAATCAAGTTTTGTTTAAAAAATAACAACACATGCCAAACAAAAAGAACCTTAATAAGGTTTTATAACCCTTAATATAGGTGTGGTTTTTAGGTAAAAGAAATTCTTTTTATTTAACAAGACTCAGACTTTAAAATTAGATAATATAACTATCTCGATTTGATAAATCAAAGAGAATCAAGTAAGGATGTAAAAATCTGTTTTATATATATATCTTTATTTTATTGTGGCTGTTGTCATGTCATTTAAAAAGTTATTTTAACAATCAAAATTAAAAAAAGTAGAGGTTATTTGGTCAAGTATGGTTCAGACTGGTCAAGTATTGTTCAGACCTTTGGTCGAGTTCGGTTCAGACTAAAACAGTAGGTCGAGAGCTGGTCAAATATAGGTCGATTACAGGTCGATTATGGGTTAAGACTGTTTCAGACTGGTCGAGTAATAGTTGAGACTATTTTCAATAGCAAAGATAAGGGTCAAGTACAAATCAGTACAGTCGAGTATGGTTAAGACTGGGCCGAGTAATATTAAGTAAATGTCAGACCAATTCAGATTGGTCGAGTAAAAATCAGCACAGTCGAGTACAGATATAGGTCATTTCAGACTTGTACTGGTTTGTAGTGCCTGTGACCTCTAATAAGTATTGAAAAGAATATAAGTCATGCTCAGATTAAGGGACACCAGGTGAGCTTTTTATGCACTACAACTATTCCAGAACCTTTAGATAGGTGAAGTATTGTCATTATTGTCAATCATTTGCGTATTATAGAAAATGTTTTATCTTAAACTTTTGAGCCAGTCTTGGACCATATCTTAAACCTTTGACCCCATTTTGAGCCATATCTTAAACATTTGAGCCAGTCTTCTACCATATCTTAAACATTGGAGCCAAATTTATACCATTTCTTAAACCTTTGACCCAATTTTAGGCTATATTTGAACATGAATCCTCTAAGGAGACTTATAGAACATATAATATTATCAAAAAAGGATTCTGAATTACTCGGAGGTTATGTTCTGTAAGGAAATTCAAAACTTATTGTGTATATGAAGTCCAAAAATTAAAAAATGGAAACAAAATCAGTACTCTGAAGTAACTTTTGAATGTAATCATAAAAGATTTTTTGTAATGAAATGCGTTTGTATTTTGAAAATATTCAAAGTTACATAAAGATAAATGTATGTAGTGAGCCATTTTGTTATATTTTCATGTCTCCATGTTTTTCTCTATCTTTGCAGATGACACACAGACATGCACATTTGAGGATGGTGCTCCATGTTTTTTGGTTGAAGCTACTAATGATGATATTGATTGGACTCGTAAAAGTGTAAGTCAAAGTCAATGTCAAAGATTGTATTGGTATAAAATCCAAAATCTGGATTGTCATCAACAGACAAAGAACAAACCTTAATCATTACAATCAATTACATATACATAAAATGGTAGTATATATGTTTAATATATCAATACAAAGCATGAAAAGTAATATATATTCTTTTTTATTCCGTTCTATCTATTTGACTGGGGAGGTAATGGTAACAAGATTGAATGCCTAATGATATCAAATATAAAGAACACATTTTTTTGTAGACTCTTTAAAAAATATTTGCCAAAATATCATCCGAGATTCATTTAAAAAACAAAGGAGTAGAGCAAGGAACCCCAATAAACGGCCCTGGAAAGTTTTTTTTAACCTCAATCATTGAAGTAAATCTAATGAGGATGCATTGCTAAATGTATGATACTTAAAAGTATAAAATGAAAATTTTATATTTACATCATATTTATAAATATTTTAGCCTGAAATAGGAATAGATTTAATTTTCTAGACATTTGTCAATTTTTCGACGTTCTTTCATGATTTTGTATGTGGCGCCACCTCTCGCCCATTGAAATTTTTATTGAAAAGTAAAGAATATGGTATATAAAGAATATTTCAGTAAACATATTCTGGGTGAAGGAATGGCGCCACTGTCTTTTTTTCTTCAGAAAACTGTCATAAATTGTGCAGAATTCAGCTAAAAAACTGTTTTATTTTATTAAATTCTCCTTTATTATGACATCACAATTAAAGAAAGAAGGTGCCAATGTTGAATGCATGAAAAATCTAGAGAAAATCATTTCCTGCCCAATTTTCAATTAATTTTATCTCAAAAAGTAGGACATAGACCTGTCATTTTTTTCTACTTTTTTAGTTTTATTATTTATATACTATCATTTTATAACAGTCTTTGTAAAAGGCTTGCTATTTTGAAACAGAGGAGCGAACATCCTTAATTGAGTTTGAAAATTAAACTTTTCGTAGATGAGAAATTTAGAATTACACTTTACTCACTTGTATCATATTTATCTACAGATCACATCTGCGGGACAATTTTTTATAAAACCAATGGAAAAAATCTTAACACTTACTGTTGAAAAATTCTTATTTCTACACAAAATTCAATATAAATTTTTTGGTCAATTCAGAGCCCCAACCTAGATACAATGTAAAAGTGGCAGTACTTCCACACAATATAATACACTGCACTTGTAACACAACTTGCACACTTCTATTAACCTACAGTCACACCTTTATAAAAAAGTCAACACCTGTAAAAAAAAAGGCAACCTTAGTATTGAAGATCCAAATGCCTAGGTTAGAAAAAAAATGAAAACAACTCATTATACATCATGTCAGTACCGAAGTACTGACTACTGAGTTGATGATACCCTCGGGGACTAATAGTCCACCAGCAGAGGTATCCACCCAGTTCTGTAAAAAATGAAAACAACACGTAATAAACTTAATGCATCCCAAGTGCTTTTCTGGATTTACCTTTGTTAGAAACACCCGAAGCCGAATATTTGAAAGCCAAGGATGTATGAGAACCGAAACAGTCAAAGGGTTACATGACTAAAAGTACCTATAATAGCCAAATCCATATAAGGTCAACTTTGCCTAAGGGAGTTGAAACCTCAGTGTCTTCATAATTTCGTGTCGTTAAAATGTAATCTACAGATAGAAAAATTCTTTAAAGATAATCTTGGTCACTTTATTTATGTAATTGTATTTAGGGCAAGACTCCATCCGGTGGCACTGGACCACAATCGGCAGTTGAAGGCAGTTGGTACAAGTTTGTAGAAGTATCTTCACCAGTGAGCAGCAACGCTGTTGCTAGGCTAGAATCTTCAACGACATTAAATGGTAAATTATACTATTTGTTTTAAGGATGTTCGCTACCCTGTTTTAAAATAACAAGCTTTTCAAGCAGACTGTAACATAAATTGAAATTGTATGAATAAAGGAACTAAAAAAAACAGAAAAAAATAAAGGGTCTGTTTGCTTGTTTTGGAGATATAAGCCTTTGCAAATTTGGCGGGAAATGATTCTCTCTAGATTTTTCATACATTTAACATTGGCACCTTTTTTCTTTCAAAAACTATGAAAAATAACAAGTATTTTAAAAGATTTTCAAATATAGCTTTTAAAACTATATGTCATAAAATTATGAAAAGAAAATTAGGGGTTAGCGGGCAAAATATTTATTAGCACTACATGGATAAAACCAGAGGATTCCAAATATCTGACAAAAATTAAAAAACAAGATGAGCGAACATCCTAAAGGAATTATCAATATAAAGATATTCTTTGATATAACTTATTGTAGATAAATAAAGGCAACAGTAGTATACTGCTGTTCGAAATTCATAAATCGATTGAGAAAAAACAAATCCGGGTTACAAACTAAAACTGAGTGAAACACATCAACTATTAGAGGAGAACAACGACACAACAGAAACACTAAAATGCAACACACACAGAAACGAACTATAAGATAACAATAGCCATTTTCCTGACTTGTAGACAACAAACAAGTAGAGTTGAAAAAAACAGAAAGAAAAGTTTACGTCATATGACCAATGAAAATATGCCAGCCTTCCTGTAAAAACCATGACCAGTGAGAATTTGCCTATTTGATCTTTTAAAAAATATTTTTTCTTTCTTTACAGCAGGTGACTATTGTTTGACTTTTGAATATCACATGTTTGGATCTGATACAATGGGAGATCTGAAAATATCAACTGGAGTTACAGCCCCTGAAAATGAACTGTTTAAAGAATCTGGTAACCGTGATGACCAGTGGAACAAGGGAATGGTTACATTTACTTCTACGGCAGGAATGAAGGTTTGTTTGTATATAAGAAATGAAATAAATGAGGGTCTGGCTGGGATTTACAGAATAGAGAACAATTGGTGGAAATATAGAATAAAAGGTCAAAAAGATAATTAATAGGGGAATAATTGCTAAAAAAATACAGAATGGCCCACATGGCAAAAAACAGAATTTTTTGTCTATTATTTTGAAAACCTCAATAAAAAGAGAAAATCTGACAGGGCAGAAATGTTTAGCATATTGAGCTCTACGTATTGTTGTTTTACATCAAAACTGTCAAACAACTTTTTAAAGGTGTTATTGCCCTTAAATTGTGAATTTTTACCATTTTTTCATTTTTGCCTATTATCTTGAAAATTGTAATGGATAGAGAGAAACTTGTAACGAAGAAGATGATCAGCAAGACAAGATGTACAAATAAATTTAACATGGCTAAAATCGCCAGACAACTAGTTATAAGAGTTTTTGACTTTCAATGACAAATTTTTACGAATGTTTGTGTTTTTGCCTAATATCTTAAAAACTGTTAAAGATAAATAAAAACTTTAAACAGCAAAAATGATCAGTAAGACAAGATCTACAAATAAATTTTATAGCTAAATTGTTCAGTCAACTCATTATTGGAGTTATTGCCCTTTAATGACGATTTTTACCAATATTTAGTGTTTTTTGTCTAATATCTTGAAAGCTAAATGTATAATAGATAGTAGACATTTTGAAAAACAAAAATGATCTGCAAGACAAGATCTATAACTAAGGCAATAGGGCTGAAATTGTCAGTCTACTCATTATTGGAGTTATTGCTCTTAAATGGCGATTTTTACCAATTTTAAGTATTTTTACATATTATCTTGAAAACTATAATTAACATATAGACATTTTAGATAGCATAAATGATTAGCAAGACAAGATCTACAAATAAGTTAACATGATTGTAATCATTATTCCACTCATTATTGGAGTTCTTGCTCTTTAATTTTATAACCCATTATCTTGAAAACTAGAAAAAGATTGATAAAAACTGTAAATGACAAACATGATCAACAAGCCAAGATCTACAAACAATACAAATTTTGCCGAAATAGTTATCAGACTCTATATAGGAGTGATTGCCTTTAAATAACGTTTTTTTACACTCTTTTGTGTTATTGGCTTAAACTCCAGAAGATGGAGAGAAACTGTTAACATTGAAGATCAGCAATACAAGATGTAGACAAAAGATAGTTTTGTCTTGAATTTTATCCTTTTTAGGGGGTGGGGGGGCACGGTGACTGAGTGGTCTTAGTAGTCAAACTACTGTATCACTAACCTGTCAACACTGAGTTTGTTAGTTCGAGTCCAGCACATTGCAGTTGCGTGCTCTACTCCAATCGTAATTGACTAGGAATGTCAGTTTTCCTACTGAAGGTCTTGGTTTTCTCTAGGCACTATGCCTTCAACCACCAATAAAAACTGACTGCCACGAAATAGCACAAATGTGCTGAAAGTGACATTAATCACTAATCAATGGAAAGTGTTCATTGTTGACAATGCACATAAACCTAGGTGAGCGACACAGTCTAGTTTGTTTTCGGCAAAAACTAAAGGAGGTAGAGAGAAACTAAAAATGATCAGCAATACAATGCAGGCGTATTTGCTGACTTGGAAAAAGCACGAAATCAAATATCCATGAAAAGTCCATTTTTCATCCATCAACGTAAACTGGAACCCACTGAAAAAGAATCAATTCACAGAAAATAGACTTTTTGGCCAAAATTAAATATCAATAACCATGAAATTGAAAACATTTCCTAGAAGTTTTTTTACCAAGATCTATAATTAGGTAATGAAATTTTGTAAATGTTTTCTCTTGCAGTTATTTATAGAAGCTAACAAGGCAACAACATGGAAGGGAGATATTGCTATAGATAATATACAACTAAAAAATGGAATATGTGAATGTAAGTTAATTACTGTGATATCGTAACCTGTTAACTATACCACAGCTAGCACTTAGGGATCTCAAGTTCAAGAAAAACATGTTTTGTAATTAAAGGTGTTTGCTCCTCTTTTTGAATATAAAAACTTTTTAAAAGACTGTAATGAATTGATATTTTATAAATCAAGGAACTTAAAAAGCAGAAAAAATAGAAAGTTTGTGTCCTTGTTTTTGAGATATAAACAATTAAAAATTTGGCAGGAAATGATTCTCTCTAGATTTTTCATATATTTAACATTGGCATCTTTTTTCTTTCAAAAACTATGGAAAATAACACGGATTTTATACGATTTTCAAAAATGGCTTTTAAAAATTTATGTTATAATATGATGAAAAGAAAAGTAAGGGTTAGTGGTCAAACTTTTATTGGCACCACTCGGATAAAACTAGAATATTTGAATATCTGAACTTCAGTTGGAATGGAAAATAATCTTTAATAATAATAAAACACTTTTTGATGTAATATTCTTTATTTAGTTACAGACAAATTTATACAACAAATTTCTGCATTCATCAGGTACGCTAAAAGCCCAATGTGTGACTGTGCATATTATCAATATTTAAGATTTTTAACCTTGGATTCGACAAATGAGTTGAGAGGTCGGACAAGTTTATTTTCTTGCAACTTGTCCAATGTACAAGTTAGAAAAAATGATAATGTAGAGGCCTGTTATAAGTTTTTTTTTATGTTTATTTATATATATATATATAAATTGCCTAACAATGTAATTATAATACACTTTTGAGTATGTAAATATTAGAACGATTAAAGTATTTACAACGCGATAAAAAATAAACGCAATATTTCGCTAGACAAACTAGCTTCATCAAGCGTGCATCTATACAGGTGAAATCAGATAAAGATAAGAAACTTTTGCAGCTCACTGTACATAAATTTAGCTGTCAAAAGAATTCAAAATTTGTCTTTACAAGACAGCAAAATTTATGTATACAGCACAAACAACATTTTCAAAAACGACCAAAAAAGTAACAAAGTATATTTAAACAAAACGCATTTGACTAGCAGGTCGAACAACGGATGTTCTTAAACCCTGCTCACTGCCATTGGCGATTGTCAAAAAAACGGATCACCAGATGTAACAAAATGGATCTTAACTATTAATTTAATACCAAACAGAAAACAATATACTTGCGGAAAAAATGGAATATCGCAAACAAAAGGTGCAAAAATTAGTACACCATATCCGGATTTCGACATTTGATTTCTCTTCAGTGATGTTAGGAATCAAAAACGGTATTTGGAAGACCATATGATTTACCTCAATTAAGGATAGACTCTTGAATTTTGAGAGTCGAAATAGGATGAACGGATCATATAAACCCGAAGGCAAATATAATACAAACCCAAACGAAAAAATATAAATAAGTCTAAATTGAAAACAACGTTCAAACCTATGATTGCGTTGGATAAAAACCGCAATTTTTATACATGTGCATGCAAAACAACTTTTTTGGTAGAGGGGTCTAAATACAGCACAAACAACATTTTCAAAAGACCACAAAAGTGAAAAGGCTTATTTTAACAAAACGCATTTGACTAGCATATATTATATATATATTGGTTATCTATAATAATATATGTTATATTTTTAGTTAATGCATGTGATTACAGTCCTTGTCAAAATGGGGGATCTTGTTTAAAAACAACAACAGCAAGTGGTTATACCTGTGCATGTCAGGCTGGATTAATTGGACAAAATTGTGAACAAAGTGGTAAGAGAGATAGAAATATGACTAGAAGGCAATGTGGGATATTTGTTAAATGGACAGCCCCCAAACATCACAAGAAGAAAAGACCCCCAAAAATCTAGATCAATCAACAGTCTTTAACATTCAACATTTCTCAAAATTCAAATTTTTTATTTTAGATTTTTTTATTATTGGGATATTTTGACTGGATAGGATTTGTGAAACTAAAATATTGCATTTAAAATTTTGTTGACATTACTTGCATGAATATTGTGTTAAAAATATCAACAATTATTTAAGTTTGTTCTTGGGTCACTATATTGTATTTTTGATAGTTGAGATATGTGATAAACATCTGATTATGTTTTGTTGTCAATCTCAATTGATTTCATCTTATATTTTATAATCTATCCCAAAGGACTCACAGTACTACTTTTTTTTGCAGATGGAAGATCAGTATCAGAATTTACTTGTGACTTTGAAGCACAAAATAATTGTGTGTTTGAAAATATTGATGATAATGATGATTTTGACTGGACTTATAGATCTGTAAGTGGCTCATGGGAATAACTTAATTAGGTATTCACTACAAGATATGAAAAAAAAAAAAATATGATTTTTTTTTGTTCAATCATTAATGAAAGTGATATAGTGAAATAATATTTCGCTTTTAGCAGCCAATTTCTTTCAATTTTGTCAAAATAAGCTAAGAAACATCGTTGAATTATTCACTTGCAAGTAAACAATTTGACCTCATTGAATCCGTATTCATATGACCTTCAATTTAACCCTTAGCTTGAGATGGGTTAAACATTTCTTCAGCTATCAAAAGGAAAAGAATGTCAACATTGAAAGTGAAACAAGGATGACCCATTTGGTTGACTGATTTGATCCACAAAAAAATCATTCTTATACAGGTAAAAACAATGATAAACATACTTTTAACCTACACTATGAAATCAAACAGACCTAGAATAATCCAATTGCACATGGTTGCTATCTGTTTATGTTTATGTTTATATCAGGTTAAATGACCATTGGCAGTCTTCGGAGGTCATCTCGATAATTAATTAGATGACGTCTAGACAAAAATACACACGAAATTTTGATACATATTATCAAGTCCATACATTGTTATTTGTTTAACTTAGACTTTTTGTTTTTTGGATATATATTTTAGTTTGTTATAAATCAAATATTAGAATTTGAGTCAAATCAGTGAACATGAACTTGACAGCTTATGCCCCTTTAGTTTAAAATAAGTCAAGAACCGATTGTTCAACTGATGTCATTTACACTGATTGACCTCAGGTCAACTGGGGTAACCCATTCATAAAAAAGATGATGAGTTACTGCTGTTAATGAATATTTTAAGAATGAGATTATAGTACCTTTTAGGTTTTGTATAGTTTGTTACATTTGACATTTTATATCTTTCCTTTTTATCAAGGGGACAACACCTAGTAGTAGTACAGGTCCTACTAGTGCATATGAAGGTACACAGTATGTCTACACTGAGGCTTCTTCTCCACGTGTTCAGGGGGACAAAGCTGTTTTGTCAACTGTTAACACTTTGCTTGCAGGTAACATTGAACATAACATCTTGAATAACTATTATATGAGGGGCGCCAGATAGAAATTAACCTGATGAAAGTGCATGTATACATGTACATGTATAAGACTTCGATTGATTTGGGATCATTCAAATATGAAATAAAAGATGAATTTTGGTCTTTTTTTGTAGGATTCTTATATCAACTCAATTTTCAAACAGTTAGACTTTACGTAAAGATTTTTTTCAACCCGAAATAGGTTCACAGATGTATTGATATTCATTTGCATAAGGTTCATTTCTATCCAAAACAGCTTATATATATATAGATTTTTAAAACTTGTGATCAGTCATATTTAGTACAAATCCAAATATTTTTTTCCTGTTTGGACTTGTTTAGTCAAAGTCATATCTGATTAACAACAGTTAATTTCAAACTTTTTGTAGAGAGTTGAAAGAGACCTCACATTTTATGTAAAAAACAAGAAAATGTTAAGCATCCAATTGGTGAGATATGACTTCAAATACTGTCATTCACAGCCTTACGATTGACACAATGCTATATTTACTGCAGGTACAAGTAGCTATTGCTTGCAGTTTAACCTCCATATGTATGGTACTCCTGGTACCATGGATGTCAAGTTTGGTAACCGTGGTTCTTCGTCTTCTGTGTGGTCAGTCTCAGGTGACCAAGGAGATAAATGGGTCGTCTATCTAGTGGAATTACCTCCTAGCTTCACAGATCCAGTGGTATAATTATTGTATATCATACTTGTGTAAAATGACTGTTTTTTATTGATTAGTTAAGGGTAGCATTCTTTTGGAGCAAGTGACTCAAATGGGAAACATTTTTTTGGTGTACTCTCTTGTAATAACCTTAAATCTGGCAAATCAATAATTTGAAAGACAAAAAATAACAGAACATTCCATATACCGTAAATATAGAAATTATTGTGATGTTTTTATACTTAATGCAAATAATGCGACTGAATGAGTATCGCAATAATAAATGGTATACTTATATCTGATATATATAACTGTATGCAGATTTTCCTGAAATCACAATAATCAATCTCGCATTTTAGTTCATTTTACAAAATTCGAAATAATAAAGGCATGCAATAATATCTGAATTTACAGAAATAAATTTTAGCTGTGATAGTGAAAGAAAGGATTGTTACATCTAGAAAGAAAATTTCTAATCTTGGGGAAAAATCAGAAAGTTATGCACCAAACAGCGGAGGGGAAATAATTGTGATAAAATATAGAATTTAGAATAAATGAACCTTCATATGACATTCAGGAATTTCTATGTTTAGATTGTCTTTGAGGCAACCAGAGGGTCATCATATAAAGCTGATATAGCCCTTGATTCAGTTAAACTTATCTTGGGACAATGTAAGTATCAAGCTAATATAGTCCTTGGTTCCGTTAAACTTAGTTTTTGAGAATGTAAGTATCAAGCTGAAATAGTCCTAATAATTAAGCTAAACTTAGTTTGGGAGAATGTAAGTATCAAAGCTGATATAGTCCTTGGTTCAGTTAAACTCAGTTTGTGATGATGTTTCAAGCTGATATAGTCCTTGATTTTTTAGTTTGTGAGAATGTAAGTACCAAGCTGATATAGTCCTTGATTCAGTTAAACTTAGTTTAGGGAGTGTAAGTATATAAAACCAATTTGCTTATCAACGTGCACGTGATCATGATGGAGACAGTGCAATCTGCTGATCAACATGATGGACACAGTGCAATCTGATCATGTTGATGGACACAGTACAATCTGATCATCAACATGATGGACACAGTGGAATCTGCTCATCAACATGATGGACGCAGTGCAATTTGATCATCAACATGATTGACACAGAGCAGTCTGATCATGTTGGTGAACACAGTGCAATCTGATCATGTTGATGGATACAGTGCAATCTGATCATGTTGATGAACACCGTGCAATCTGCTTATCAACATGATGGACACATTGCAATCTACATCATCGACACAGTACAATCTGCTTATCAGCATGTCTTAAGAGAATAACAGCAAATTGTTTTATTATTGTGAAAAAAATTATTCTTTACATAGTTGTTTATACTGTGGATTTATTTATTTTCATGGGTATCAATTTTCATGGATTAAGAAAAGTTTAATATTTATGGACTTTTGATTTTGTTGTTTTGACAAAGTCTGCATTTAAGCCTACAGAAAATTTGTAATTTTTGAATATTTCAATTTATGGTTTACACGTACCCACAAGTTTCAGCAAAATTGGTATTCAAATAATAACAATGAATCCATAGTATTTGATATGTCAGAGTCTGCTGAGAATAGTCCATTTTGAATATGGCTTTTCAACATTTTAGGTTTCAGTTTCAGTGTCAATTACAAAATTTTATCTATGTTGACTAAACTATTGATATTTTTGTTATCCTGCAACGAAACATCAGCATATTGATTATTTTTTTTATCCAACAGCACTCCAGCCCTTGGATTCTTTGACAACTGTTTAGCCAACAGTACTTCATCCCTTTGATTGTTGTACAATTTTTTCGAAACAGTACTTTAGCACTCTTATTTTTAAACAATTTTTCTTGAACTCTACTTTAGCACTTTGATATTTGAACAGTTTTTCTCAAACAGTACTGTAGTACTTTGATTTTGAACAATTTGTCTTGAACAATACTTAAGCACTTTGATTTTGGAAAATTTTTCTCAAACAGTTCTTCATCCCTTTGATATTTGGACAATTTTTTCTCAAACTGTACTTCAGCACTTAGATTTTCGACAATTTTTCTCAAGCAGTTCTTCATCGCTTCGATATTTGGACATTTTTTTCGCAAAAATTTATACCTTTGATATTTGAACAATTTTTCTTAAACAGTACGTCAGCACTTTAATATTTGTATAATTTTTCATAAACAGAACTTCAGCACTTTGATATTTGTATAATTTTTCTCAAACAGTACTTTAGCACTTTGATATTTGGACAATTTTTCTCAAACCGTACTTCAGCACTTGGATTTTGGCTTTTTTCTCAAACAGTTCTTCATCCCGTTGATATTTAGACAATTTTTCTCAAACAATATTCATCCCTTTGATATTTGAACAATTTTTCTTAAACAGTACGTCAGCACTTTGATTATTGCAGGTCCCGCTCTAAGTGCCTGTACTAGTAACCCGTGTAGCAATGGTGGTACCTGTAATGAGGATGGCAGCACTGCTGGATATAATTGTAATTGTATGACAGGCTGGTCTGGAGATAATTGTAATGTTCAAGGTGAGTATTCATAATTGCATATTATGTTAATGAACTCATCATAGATACCAGGATTAAAATTTTGTATACATGACGTGCGTTTTCCCTACAAAAGACTCATCAGTGACGATCGAATCAAGAACAAAGTTGAAGAACATTGAGGACCCGAAATTCTGAAGGTACAAACATGAGTCATTACTTTGTAATTACCTTTCAAAGGGAACATGAATGGAGAAGGTTGGATTTGGGTCTATATACTATGGCTCTAAAAAAACTTTTCAACAATATGGTGGCATGTAATCTTTTCCTGTTTTTCATTCTTGTTGGCATTTTTCATAAAACATCATAAAGTAGCATACAATTTCCAACAAATGTGAATCTGAGGAGCATATGATTTTTTGTAAATTTGTATATCTGATCACCCAAAAGTATGAAGATAAATAAAACAAACATGCACTTGTTAAAAACAAAAAAAAATGCTAATAGATAATCAGTTTTCATTTTCTTATTGCAAATTTAAAGAAAGACATATGATAACCAGTAAAATTTTCCATAGACTGTTGGTTCATTGGTCTGTTGGTCCAAAAAATATTTCCTTCCCACTTGTCTTGGGTACTACTGTACAGAAGGACTTTATATGTTTTGCGGGAGAATGATAACTCCACAATTCTTTAAAAGAGTCCTAATATTTTTATTAACAGATGTATTTGGAGAGGATGACTACAGCTGTGATTTTGAAACTGCTGCCACATGTATTTTCCAGGATTCTACTCAGGATGAATTTGATTGGACACGACGTACTGTAAGTTCTTATAAAAATCTAGTCTGTGTTTCACAATAAGTAATTAGTATCATTATTGTAAAAGAGAGGCGGAAGATACCAAAGGGACAATCAACTCATAAATCGGAAAACAAAGTGACAACGACATGGCTAAAAAGAAAAGACAAACAGACAAACAACAGTACACAAAACACAACATAGAAACCAAATTCTGAGCAACACGAACCCCACCAAAAACCAAGTGGTGATTATGTTGTTCACTAATCCTTTTTTATCAAAGATTCCTATAGGATTTTGTATACAAATATTAACCCGATGACAGACCTTTTCGATAGAAGGTAGAAAAATTAAGAGCAGAGCATACATATTTATATATATATATGCCCCTGTTCCCTCATTTTTATGGAGATGATAAGATCAGTGCTTTGCTAATGGCATACCCCAACAAATATTTTGATAAAAAACATAAAAGTGAAGTTTGTACAATACAAGATACAGATACCCCTCTTATCCTTTTATTCATACTAAAAATGTTATTGGACTACTGTAAATTTAAAATTTAATCGTGTGTATTTATTATAGCGATTTTTAAAGATTAGACTGACCAAAAATGCGAGTTTAGTTATTGTGATTTTTCAGAACACCTAGATATAGATATATGTAACTATGAGATACCGAATAATTGCAATACTCAAGTAGTCGCATTTTACATGGCAATAATTTCTGAATTTACTGTATTCCAGAAAATATAAAAAGCTACATACAGATAAATGAATGAGATACCAAAATATGATTTCTTATATTTGTGATACTTGAGTAGTCACATTTTTTTTATTAATAAAAACATCACAATAATTTCTGAATTTACAGTCTTCCAGAAAATATAAGGAGAGTTTATTCTTTAGTTTAAAGAAAAGGGTACAATACCTGATGTATTAGTTCTTCTGGAGCTGATGTTATGAACTTTAATGTTAAAGAATAAGATTAACGAACTATCGTAATGAATTTTATAGAGTACTACCCCAAGTGGTGGTACAGGACCAACAAGTGCAGCCAGCGGAAGTTACTACATATACACAGAGGCCTCATCCCCAAGAGTTAATGGCAATACAGCTGTACTCACAACTGAAGCGGCTAACTTACCAGGTAGACTTCTTCATTAAATTGTTTCTTTCTTTATTGAAAATTAAAAAAAAAAGTTATTTGGATAAAGAAATTTCTGGGTCCTTATCCCGGCCTCATTAAATGTAAATAGTATATAAAAGTTAGAACGTGTTATTAATTTAAGGCCTGAAACATGAATTACTAAATTAAGATATATTCATTACTTTTATAGTATCTTTCAATAAAAAATAACCTTTATGGGCAATTTATTCATTTTTCCTTTGATCTTACTGCCGAATATTTGTGAAGATTATGGATCGAATATATTAGGTAATGATGTCACGCATCTGTGCAGCAACGTCCCGTGTTTCTGTTCATTCACACCAATTAATCAGTGAAATGCACGCGACCTCATTCATACAAACGAACAACTTTCACAAAGTTTTGTACGATAAAAGCAGTTTTACTAACTAAGATGTTTCAAGTTATAATTGCATTCTTGACAATAGACATCTCAATTTTTATTGTTTGTAATTTTCTTACAGTATATTGATAATCCACTTAATTTTTTCAGCAAGTTCTTGGTGTCTTACCTTCGAGTATCACATGAAGGGGAGCCCCGGAACATTGGAAGTATTTGCTGGGGATAAATCATCTTCTCTGACAAGTATCTGGAACAAAACAGGAGAGCAACCTGATCCTGACCTATGGAAAACTGCTACTATAGACATACCTCCATATAGTAATCCTGTTGTAAGTATTATTATGTAATGATTGAAAATTATTACTGCAGATATACCACAGTATAGTAATCCTGTTGTAAGTATTATGTAATTATTGAAAACTGTTACTTCAGATATACCACAATATAGTAATGCTGTTCACAAAAATATTAAACATTGAACATTTTAGTATAACGTACGATCTGTTTTTGTCTAGCCTGCGAAGAAATTCGCAGTATGCGAGACATAGGTATTACTATCGGGCGGCGGCGACGGCATAAACTTTTAGCAAAAAGCTTTATATTTCAGAAAGTAGAAGACCTGGATGATTCATTCCTTGTATGCATATACCTTATGTAACGAAGTTTCCGTCTGTCATATGCCCATTGTCCTTTACCTCGTTTTCATGGTTCAGTGACTGCTTGAAAAAAAATAAGTGTTTTTGTCATGTGAATTTCTCAATTATTGAGTAATAGGATAACTATATTTGGTATATTGGTTCCTTGCAACGTTTACATGTCTGTCTGACAGGGTGAACGTGACCTCGACCTCAATTCATAGAGCAGTGATCTAGGTTAAAGTTACGTGATTTTGTCTGTTTCTCAGATGCTACAAGCAGCAGGTCAACTATATGCGGTGTATGGAATGATTGTAAGGGGTACATGTCAGACTGGCAGGTTTCATCTGACCTTGACCTCATTTTCATGGTTCATTGGTTATTGTTAATATATTGTGTTTTGGTCTGTTTTTCAAGTACTGTAAGCAATAGGTCAACTTTGTGTGGTGTATGGAATGATTGTAAGGGGTACATGTCATACTGGGTGGTTTCATCTGACCTTGACCTCATTTTCATGTTCATTGGTCATTGTTAATTTTTTGTGTTTTGGTCTGTTTTTCAAGTACTGTAAGCAATAGGTCAACTTTTTTTGGTGTATGGAATGATTGTAAGGTGTACATGTCTGTCTAGCTGGTGTCATCTTACCTTGACCTCATTTTCATGGTTTATTAATTAACATTAACTTTTTGTGCTTTGGTCTTTTTTTTCGATTACCATAAGCAATGGGTCAACTATATTTGGTGTATGGAATGATTGTAAGGTGTACATGTCTGTGCGACAGTTTTTATCTGACTTTGACCATATTGTCATGGATATTCAAGATTACTAATTGATACTTGTAGTAAAACATTTATCTTTAAGACTTTCAACATAAAATCAATGGTCAGTAAAACAGGCGAGACATTTCAGCGTGTGCACTCTTGTTGTCATAAGATTTTTTTTTAAAAAAGAGCCCTGATAATATAAAAAATTAGGAGATGTGGTATGGTAGCTAATGAAACAGCTGTCCACCAGAGCCCAACATGATATAAATGTGAGCTACTAAATTGGATCAATCAGGTCATTATCAATGCTCTCCTATGTAAACGAATAATGAGTATTTTAGATTTAAAAGCATAATGATAAAAAAAAGAGAGTAAAATAGAATAAAATATATCATATGTTTAGACAAGTATGTATTATTCAATAAACATGTATATAGTTTAAAAAGTTTTTTGTATGTATTTTATCATCCTTGGACGTACCAAACCCTAACTCAGTTGTACTGGTGTTCTTGTTAAAATTTCTGTTTATATCTCAATTATCCAACGCATTTACTCACCTCACATGATATTTGTAATTGAGTTATGGATAATGGCATATAGGCTGTAAATTCAGAAATTCTTGTGTGTGTTTCTTTTTGTGATTGAGGGATAATGGAAAAAAACAAGATTTAATTGCTGCGATATCTGAAAATGTTTATTACAAATAATCTAAATTTAAAATGCAAGTTTTTATTTTTGCACAATCTATTCATTAACAATTTTTCAACAATAAAAACATCTCAAAAATTTTCTAATTTTACAGTAGTTATTTCCTAAATTATCTTTTAATTTTAATATTTAATAATAAATTCCTATTTATTTAAAAAATGTTTTGATGAAGATCACTCATGGGTAATATATACAAATCTGATAATTATTAGAAAAGAATTATAAAATACGCTTGAAAATAAATCTTACAAAATAACTCTTAAACATAATTAGTATTTTAACAGAAAAGTGAAAAATAAAGACAGTTTTAAAAAAAAATTCTCTAAGGCCAGAAATTTTTAATGCAGTTGTATCATTGTATAGCAACACTATTTCAAATATATGTCTTTTTTTTAGATCACCATAGAAGGGGTCAGAGGTAGTTCATTCAGAGGTGACATTGCCATTGATGATCTCACTCTGAATGTTGGTACATGTACTAGTAAGTATAACTTTATTAAGAGGTGACATTGCTATTGATGATATCACTCTTAATGCTGGTACATGCAGTAAGTATTACTTCATTCAGGGGTGACATTGCTATTGGTGATATCACTCTCAATGCTGTTACATGTAGTAAGTATTACTTAATTCAAGGGTGACATTGCAATAATTAGTGATATCACTCTCAATGCTAGTACATGTTGTAAGTATTACTTCATTCAGGGATGACATTGCCATTGATGATATCACTCTCAATGCTGGTTCATGTAGTAACTTCATTCAGAGGTGACATTGCTATTGAAGATCTGACTTTCAATGTTGGTACATGTAGTAAGTATTACGTCATTCAGAGGTGACATTACTATTGATGATATCACTCTCAATGCTGGTACATGTAGTAAGTATTACGTCATTCAGAGATGACATTACTATTGATGATATCACTCTCAATGCTGGTACATGTACTAGTAAGTATTACATCATTCTTTTCATCATTATGAATATTCATTAGATATTTGCTACAGAATTTAAAGCTTACAATAGTCAAAACTTTTTTTTAAAGTTAGAGGCCCTATTGTGGCATCTATTTCTGTCTAAAATTTCAAATTAGGGGTTTATTACCCAATATTTCCATTGTATGATTTAAATGGAGCTTTGTCATAATTTTTGACATAATCTCGCCAAATATAAAGTTGGTTTTTTTTGGGTGTGCACATAAATTTCCAATCTTACTTATACTTAAAAATTGATGTCAAACCAAAAATAATCAAGAAATTTCACAAAATATACAAATTTTGTCATAGTTTGTTGCCATAGCAAATAGTTAAACGTGAAATTTATTTTTATTTTATGAACACCTTGTACCTTAGTGTAGTAATAATAAATTTTAAGAGTATGTATGGTAACTTTTCAACTCGGATTGACATTTGTGTAAAATAAGGGCCTTATTGCCCTTACTTCTTTTTCTCTCTTCCTAGAAAAAATCTGGTAATAAAGTCATGATAAATAGAGAATAATACATGGCAAAATCCGTATCACATGCTGTATCATCCCGAGATACCAATATCAGCCCGAGGGCCATTAGGCCCAAGGAATGATATTGGTCGAGAGTGATACGGCATGTGATACGGATTTTGCCATGTTTTATACGCTTTATCATATATTTAAACAGGAGAGTATATAGGAACTGCTGACTGATCCAAAGCACCTAGGTTTCCTTACAATTTGGGTCCTGTTGTCCATAGAAATTTTTGTTTATTTTATTTTTTTGTTGTTTGCTTGTCATTTGTGTGGTATTTCATTGAGTTCTTTGTATCCTCCTTTAGTAATGTTGTACTATATAAAACACATTCTAAATTAAACCTGTTAATAAAAAAAAATAGTTGCAATAAATCAACAATTTAATAACAAATATACAGTAATAAACAAGAGACTACTTTGAGACTGGTGAGTAAAATGTGAACTTTTGAAATATCAAAATTTAAAGTTTAACAAACTAAAGTTTTACTACTAAATATGTAATAAATACATGTCAAATATCAGCAATTCTCTATAACTAAATAAAGTAAAATTGTATAAACTCTTTTTTGTTCTTTTTTAGGTGCTGGAAAGTGAACAGAAACCGGAATTACCCTACAATCATAACTTAATGATGCTGTGATATTCACAGTTATAATGATCATGTGATATCTAGTAACTTGTACATTATAAAGATCATGTGATAATAACAATTACTTATTCGTTATAATGACTATGTGATATTCAGTTTCTTGTACCATATCTGTGCTAGCAGTTTTTAGATATAATAAAAGTTTGTGTAAATGCAATCGATTTTTATTGATAAATTCTTTTTATTAGTTTACGTTCCCAAAAGGGCCAGTATAAGCTTTGCCATCACTTTGCGTCCGTCGTCTCTTAAAAAGAGTGGACAAATACTATAGGGACATTCAAACTCATAAGTTGAAAATAAACTGATAGCGACATGGGGAAAAAAGGATTAAAGACAAACAACAGTAAACAAAGCACAACATAGTAAACTAAAGACTGTGCAACATGAACCCCCACCAAAATCAGGGGTGATCTCAGGTTCTCAGGAATGGTAAGCAGATCCTGCTCCACATGTGACACCCATTGTGTTGCTCATGTTAGAACAAATTCAGTAATAAGTCTAATTCGGTAGGTCACATTCGGGGATAAGAGGACGGGATTGTGGTCACGACAATTGGCACTTATCTGTCGTCGTCTGCAAAACAATTATTCTATGACAGTCAACCAACCCATGGTGGCGTCCGTAAAATTTTCGAAGGTATAATTTCGTTCTTTTGTTGCAAAGTTTAGTTCTCAACCCACCCTCATTGTCAATTTCTAGATGTAAGTCAAGATATCAGGCAGACAAAACTGTATATGTTGTATCTTTTATTTCAAGTTCAATGGGATAGATGCGTTCTACGTAGACGCCAAACTTTGATATATTTAGTGAGAGGACATCATTTTCATTGCGGTAAGCGAAGTTAAACATGTTAAAGGTTTATGCCAGCTTTTGTATTGTCCATCGTCTTCCGTTAATTTTACAAAGATCATCTTCTCTGCAACTACTGTGCCAAATTTAATCAAACTAAGCCGCAATCATCGTTGGAGTATTTTGTTTATAAAATAGGTCTGATGACCCCACTGGCCAACCTACATGGTCAATCTGACTAGAAATAGATCATATTGGTAAAATGCAAGTGTTGTCTATTATCTTGAAAACTGCTATAAATAGAGTAAATCTTGCTGGGCAAAAATGTTGAGAATGATGAGATTTACTTTTTGCCTAATAACTGTCGGACGACTTCATGTGAGAGATATTGCTCTTAAATTATGTGTAAATAACGATTTTTGCCTATTTTTTGGAATAATGAAAGGTAGACATTCACTTCGTATAGCAAAAATTATCAGCAAGACCAGATCTACAAATGAATAAATTGTAGAAATAATCAGTCGACTCCTTTTAGGAGTAATTGCCCTTGGATGACAATTTTTTCGATTTTGTTGTCTTTTTTGCTTATAATCTTGAAAACAATAATAGATAGAAACTTTAAAAAGCAAGAATGATCAACAATACAAGATCTATCAATAGGTCAGCTAACTTGTAGATGAATTTATCAGTTGTATTCTTGTAGGAGGTATTTCCCTTAAATACTGATTTAAACACCTTTTGGAGTTTTGGACAAACAGTATTGAAGAAAGAGAGAAACTATAAAACTAAGGAATTATCCTCGGTACAAGTTCAACTAAAAAGAGATTTTAGTCATGAATAATATTCTAGTCTAAAATGTTGGAGAGTGTCATTGATGAAGATGCACATAGACCTAGGTCAGCCTCTGGTTTTTATTTGTAGACGGTATGGGGTATTAGGATGTCCGTCAGTCTCTGATTATGATGTAGTACACATGTTCATTATTAAATGAGCTTTTTAATCTATGCGCCAAAAAAGTGTTTTACTGATCATGAAAATATTATAAAGTGAGTTGGGCATATAATTGAGTTATTTGTCGTGCCTGGGACAAACAACGAAGAATGCAGAATGCAAAACAGGGATTGGAATACGGCGGTGGTCGCGTAAACTATTTGTATTCAGATTTGTATTTCAGAGGTTAGATCTGGATGCTTCAAACATTGTATAGAGATGCCTAATATTACAAAGTTGCCATCTGTCTTATGTCCGTTGTCCTTGACCTCATATTCATGGTTGAACGACTGTTTGAAAAAAGTTACAATTGATGTCCTGTACATTTTGCAGTTATGAGGAACAGCATTAATATATATTGTGTATATGGGTTCCTTGCAAGGTCTATGTCAGACAGAGTTAACCTGACCTCGACCTCATTTCATGGATCAGTGGCCAATGTTATCGTTGTGTCATTATGTTCGCTTCTCCGATACTGTAATTAAGTAATAGGTGTATGGAACAAAGGTGTACATGTCAGTTTGGCGGGTTCCATCTGACTTTGACTTCATTTTCACGGTCCATGTTAAGTTTTTGTGTTTTTGTCTGTTTTTTGTATTCTATAAGCAGATTGTCAACTATATTTGGTGTATGGAATAATTGTAAAAAAGAGGCGGAAGATACCAGAGGGACATTCAAACTCATAAGTCGAAAAAAAACTGACAACGCCATGGCTAAAAAAGCAAAAGACCAACAGACACACAATAGTACACAAAACACAATAAAGAAAACTAAAGACTGAGCAACACGAACCCCACCAAAAAATGGGGGTGATCTCAGGTGCTCCGGAAAGTTAAGCAGACCAAGCCCCACATGTGGCACATGTCGTGTTGCTCATGTTAGTACAAACTCGGTAATAAGTCTAATTCGGTAGATCACATTCGGGAACAGGGGGTTGGATTGTAGTTGCGACAATAGGAACATATTCGCTATCATCTGTGAAACGGATATTCCGTAACGTTAAACCAACTCTAGATGGCGTCCGTAAAATTTACGAACGGTTGATTTCAACTTCACCACTTGGAACTCTTGGTTTAATAGCTTCCGTGTGAGCAGCAACCCTCTATCAAGGAAATCATGAAAGGAAATACAAGCCCTGGAGTATTGTATCAACTGAGAGATATATACTCCACATGCAGGCGCTACTGGAATATTGCTACATAAAAATGGAAAAATCACAATTGGGAAGCTGAAATGATCTCTTTTGTCATAAAGTTTTGTTTTCAACCGACCCTCATTGTCAATTTCTAGATGTAAGTCAAGATATGAGGCAGACTTAACTGTATCTGTTGTATCCTTTATCTCAAGTTCGATGGGATAAATAGTCACAAAATTTTGAATTAATTAGTGAGAGAACATCATCTATGTAGCGGAAAGTAAAGTAAGAGGATACTTCTAACTTCTTTTCTTTCTTCCTAAGAAGCTTCTGTATGAAGTCAGCCTCATATAAATAAAGGACCAATCGGCAAGAGGAGGGGCACAATTAATTCCCATGGGAATGCCGATTGTTTGTTAAAAAACACGTTTTCCAAACGTAACAAATATGTTGTCAATCAAGAAATCAAGCATCTTGTTAATGTCAGCTTAAGAGATTTTTTTGTTAGAATCAGAGTGATTTTTTACAAAGTAGGATTTATCCCTCCCTAAGACAAGATACTTGTATCTACGTTGGCCATTCGTTTTTATGAAACAATGCAGGACCAACTCTTTCAATTTGTCTTTTAGTTTGGAATGGGGAATACTTGTGAAAAGTGTAGAAAAGTCAAATATTTTAATACTATTGGAAGGTGAAAGAGTCTTAGATTGTATGTACTCTAAAAGATCTTCGGAATGTTTTAGTATTTAGTATCCATATCTGATTCACGCCACCTCTAGAATACGTAGTTCATAATAACTTTGAAGCCCGGCTTTGATTGCTGATAAAATTGATGTTGATAATTTAGAAAGAGGTTTCGAGGAGCACTTGGAAGACCCAGCAGTATACCGTTGTTTGTAAGGACACTTGTGTAGTTTAGGTATCCAATACAGTGATGGAAGATCCAGTTCTTCATCTCTGGTTGAAATTCCAAAGGATCATAGAACAGACCTATGATTATCCAGGATTTCCTCTATAGTAAGTGTTGTGGGAGTATATGTTGAGTTTATTATCAATAACTAATTTAGCAGTTTATGTAATGTGATTTTCACACAAAAACGATGTTGTTTGGGGCTTTATCTGCGGGGACAACAACATCTTTGTCATGAAGGTAGTGTTTAGCAACATTTGGGTCTTCAAAGATTGACGTAGCATGGGTATTAATAGACCCATTCAGTTTCTTAATTCTGATTTGTATTAACGACCTTACAGCCTCGATCCATTCAGAAAGAGTATCTACGTCTTCTTTCACGCGTTTAGCCCATTGCCTGGCATAAACCTCGACTAAATCCATCAGTATTTTGAAGTTGTGCTTCCAATTCATGGATTTAGGCTCACGATATTTCGGGTCTTTGGATTATACATTTCGCAGAGAAGTGTTTTTGACAATGTTAAGGTCTCCACTAATAACGTGACCAGCCGGATATATATGAATGGGGAACTAGCACAGGTGCAATCAGGAGGTTTAGACTTGAAGTCGTCAATATTGAGATCCTGCAACACGTGTTTGTAATTGGAAATTTTAGTAAGGTGTACATGTCTCTCTGGCTTGCCTTAAATGACCTTAACCTCGTTTTCATGGATCATTGAAAATGTTAAGTTTATGTGATACTTGTGAAACTTTTTTTTCGTACTATCAACATAAAATCAATCATGGTCAGTAAAGAAGGTGAGACATATCAGCGTTGTCAATGTTTCATAAAAAGAGGCGAAACACATAAGTCGAAAGGGTAAGCAGGTCCTGCTCCACATGTGGCACCCGTCGTGTTCCTCGTGAAAGTACAAACCTGGTAATAAACTAAATAAGAATTAATTACTGTACTAACCTGATTTTATTCATATGCTTTTTTTTATGTCATAGGAACACAACAGTACTCTTTTTATGTATGGTAAAATTCCAGAGTATTGTTTCAAGTAAAAATTACTAAACACAATTCAATATTATAGGCAGTAAAGTTGAACATGACTTTAGTATTTGAGGTATTTATATTCTGAAATAAACTAAAAACGGGTACAATGTCCTATCCTTTTAAAGTGATTACTAGGTAAACAAGAATGTGTCCATAGTATACGGATGCCCCACTCGCACTATCATTTCCTATGTTCAGTGGACCGTGAAATTGGGTTCAAAACTCTAATTTGGCATTAAAATTAGAAAGATCATATCATAGGCAACATGTGTACTACGTTTCAAGTTGATTAGA